AAAATTCTGGTTACTAATGTGCATGTATGTGTACACATGTGTATGTATAGTGTGTGCATGTGTGTGGGTGTGGGTGCATGTGTGCCAGGGCATGCTTATCAAAGTCAGATGAGTGTAAGCAGGAGTGGAACGCCAGTGAGGTGAGGGGAAGAAGCAAAACTTGTAGCTGTGCGAGGTTTTGGGAGTGGAAACTTGTCTAAAAGGCTCTCCTAATTCACATAATGACGTGCTGCTGACTCAGCCTCAAGTGTTGGTCCTGGATATCTGTAGACTTGTTAGCGTTCCAAGTGCTGTGCCTGGCCAGACTGGGACACTCTTTTACAAACATTTTCTGGATGGTGGGGTGTGGTTTCCAGGTCCATTCCTGCTCATTAACTTGTGGGCTTCTTCAACTCTTTTAGTCTTCCTATCTTGAAAATGGTAGGACTTTTCCTACCATTTTAATCTTGGACTAAATGGCTGTAATTTTTCCTTTCTATAATTGTGTGCTTCTAAACAAACAAAACCTCCACCCTTTGCTGAGTCACTTTTAATTTTAAATGGCTGTAGTTTTTTTTTCTTTCCTGAGTCTTAAGACCCATTACAGAAGTGTCTCCAGGTCTAGCAGTGACTGTTCTCTCTCATCAGGATCATATACTTTCCCAATCCCCGAATTATATTTGGTGGCTTCTCCAGGCTGCATTTGGCTGACATTCAGTCACAAGAGTCTTGACTTTATACCTCTTATCCACCAAGTAAGCGTTCTGCAGAGGTGTCTTGACGTCCTCCACAGTACTTATCAGTTCAGATCATAACCGCAGACTGCCCCTCGTTGCACATTATCCTCTACACAGTAGAGCAGAGCAGGGTGTTTATTGGACACCCATGAAGCGTGTACCTAAGGAGATGCTGGTTAGTTACCCTTCCCTTCTGAGTTTTATACCAGAACAAGAGGCCAGAAACAGTCAGTTTGATCTATGCTTCTAGAGTTGCAGCAGCCTGCCCAGACTTTTCTTCTCCCCTAAAACATGCCAACAGTAAATTCACCTGCTACTCATATGAACATATGACATCATTATTATATTCATTTAAGAAAGGAAAAAGTGCATAAAGCCAACAGGGAGATGTTCATAGGATCTAAAATAAGATAAGCTTGGAATCTCCATATTGTTTCATGACACTGAATTTGGGCAAGTAACTTAATCTCTCTGTGCCTTCATCTGTGGAATGAGTAAGATACCTGCCTTGTAAGGATTTTGCAGGAATGTATTCCTGGGTAGCTAGCCCCTGGGCATCTGAAGTTCTGTGTGCAGAAGTGGAATGTTGAATTCTTAATGAATAGTGACTGAACACGACACATGGTAGGTTGCTAATAGAGGTGTGTTAAATTAATAGAAATAATTAAGCAAATATTAGCAATTATTATTTTTTTTCCGAGATAGGTTTGTAGCTGGAACTAGATCTTGTAGACCAGGCTGGCCTCAAACTTACAGAGATCCACTTCCTTTGTCTCCTGAGTGCTGGGATTAAAGGCATGTGCCTCCACCACCCTGTGTTAGCAGTTATTTTAAAAAACGTAAAACACACTTATGTGATCTTTTTTATTTTCAAGATTTCAATTATATTTTTTCTTGTGATGTACTGGGGATTAAACCCAAGACCTTGTGTATGCTAGGCAGGTGCCCTATCTCTGAGCTCTATCTCCAGTCTGCTAGTAAACTAGAAAATTGTTAAGCATGCCACAATTAATGATTCTAAAGTGGGACAGAAAATTAATATAACTAAAGCAGATGCAGTGGTATGCTTTAAAAACTTACTGATTCCAACAAATTATATTACCATAATCAGATGCTACCAGAGTCAACCAAATGCTTTATACATGTGTAAATGCCTCAGTATGGTGCCTGCATACATGAATAGGTGAATTCTACATGTGAGGTGGAAAAGATTCTGTAATACCAGGAGGCTTGTCCTCCCTGTCCATTGTATTATTTGATTGTTCTCTAATTTTATTTCAGGATTATAACTGTGATAATTGAGTATCGACCACATGACATTTTGTTATCTTCATGGAATATATGATATCCAGCCAAAAGTTCTAGACAGATGGTTTGTAAGTTTAGATCTAACTGATTAAAGGTTTTCTGTCCGTGGAATTCTGTTCCCTGTTTGTCTGTTAGCTCAGTCATCATTGACACTGTTTTAGATGCTTTAGATGTTTTAGTGCTTTAGATGGTTACATATTATATGTAATGTTTTGGACAAACTTTCTCCCATGTTTAAACCTTGTCTATTACAGAAAGCTAGTGAGATAGAAGCGTCTGATGCTGCACGTCTAAGTAGATAGTTTCTTTCTGGCATAGGTCTTATATTGCTTATGATCATTTACATGAAGGGAGTAAAATGTATTTATTTGTAGAATTGTCCTGTGTTTAAGGAAGTTGAAGTTGTAGTCATGAGTAGTTGAGACTTCCTTTGGTGGTCACTTTTTTACTGGTTATGGCACGGTTTTCCCAACCTCACAGACTGTAATTCTGGCAGTTGTCTCTTTGTTTCCTTTTATTCCACAGTCACTCATTTCCAGAGAACCGGTGAGTTCTGATTATTTTGAACACCGCTGTTCTAGCTCCTCTTATCTCTTCTCACTGCCTCTGTCTAGTTCAGTGCTAGGCTTTGTTTTCAGCCCTGGTTGAGCTCCTTGCTTCGGCCTTTTTTTCAGGATTGTCTATCTTAAATGAAATGTATTTTTTTCTCTATAAAACCCGTTAAAACACCTTTCTGTCACAGTCAAGTTCAAGGTTTTAACCTTTTATTTGTAATTAATTCTCATTCATCCTGTAAGGCTCAACACAGTACCTTCTATAAGAATTCTGTCACCCACCAAAGTTTTGGCTTTCATTTTCTGTAAACAACTCCAATAAGTAAACAAATCCAATAAGAAAGGAATGAAGAAAACCAACATGTTCATGCTAAACTTTCCTCCTACCCAGAGAGAGTAAGAGCAGGAGAGGGACAACAGCTGCAGTCCACAGCTCACTGCCCGCTAAGGAAGAGCATGTGGTTGGCGGAGGTGGGATTATAGAGTAAGCCTTTGCGAGGTTACCCGGCCCTGTGGCTCAGTCTGGCTGTTCTTTGTTGTGTAGAAGGATGGTTTTTGCCATTAACCATTTTAACCAGCTCTCCTTTTGCTCACTGCAACATGGAGTAGATGGATTAGTTTGCTCCGTAGGAGGAAAAGCAGCTGTCAGTTCTCTTGTCAATAAATTAATTGGATTTATGTGCCATATTTTGGGGGGATTACTGCAAATCACTGAATAAATATGAAATGTAACCCATATTTATCTAAGTCGTTAGAGGATTGGGTTCTTGGTAGCATAGGGTGCTAGCGTATTGAATTCACTAATAGAATGGTACCTTGGAACAGTACCTTTGACAGTCATTCAGCCAGTTTTTCTGGTGATAGCTTCATGTGAACCTTTCCTAACTGCTTTGTTTAAAATCACTTACCCAAGTATTTTTATAGGGCTCCTAAAACTATCAATATTTAAATTATTTGGTTAAATAGATGAGGTACGGAGTGGTCTTTTTAACTGTCCCTGACTAGTCCTATTTTCAAGATTCTTGTAACAAAATTTGAATTTTGTATTTATTTTACAGTTAAATAATGAATGTGGGTGTCAAAGTGAAGCTTCACATTCTCTGGATGTTTACAGAATAGCAATCATTTACTGAATACACACTGTGTGTTGGATAGTGTGTTGGATTATGTACTACTTTAAAAAGATACTGATCCAAGTATTTTTGTAGACAAGGAATCTACGACTTTTTGTTTGTTTGTTTGTTTTTTGAGACAGGGTTTCTCTGTGTAACAGTTCTGGCTGTCCTGGAAATAGCTCTTGTAGACCAGGCTGGCCTCGAACTCACAGAGATCTGCCCGCCTCTGCCTCCCGAGTGCTGGGATTAAAGGTATGCGCCACCACTGCCGGGTTAGAATATAAGCTTTAAAAAAGTTAAACGACTTTCCTATGGTCACAATTAGAAACAGAGCCAAGCAGATCTGAACCTAGAGCTGTTTGTTACAAAGACCAATCCACTTGTTTAAATAAACATAAATATATTTTAATAATTGTGATGCCTTTTGATAATTATTTTTTTTCTTTTTTTGGTTTTTCAACACAGAGTTTCTTTGTATAGCCCTGGTTCTTCTGGAACTTGCTCTGTAGACTTGGTTGACCTCAAACTCACAGAGATGCACCTGCCTCTGCCTTGCCTCCAAGTGCACTACCACCACCCGGCTTGATAATTACTTTTAAACTGTACCTCCATGTGTGTCTGTGTGCTTTTCTATCTACTCCACTCTTTTTAGATGATTTTTTAAACTTAGAGAGCTTAATTAAAACACAGTACTACATTTATTTTGGATAGATTTCTTTCAGGTGATTAAAGCCTGTTATAGATTTCCATTGGGTTTTTTGTTGTTGTTGTTGTTGTTGTTGTTGTTGTTTGTTTTTGTTTTTTCTTTTTCTTCTTTGAAACAGGGTTCCTAACTATACTGGAACTTGCTTTGTAGACCAGGCTGGCCTTGGACTCAGAGCTCCACCTGCCTCTGCTTCTGGAGTCCTGGGATTAAAGGTGTGCACTACCATTATCTAACCTCCATGTTATTCTTACATACTTAATTTATGCAGTTGATTTCCTTAAATCAATTCTTACCTAATCTTAACAGCGCTTCCTCCTGAATTTATTTCTACAGAAATATTGATTACTACCGAGGGTTTTTCATTCTGTATTTGCTATTGCATATACTATTTCTCTTTAATGGTCAGGTACGGAAGGCAGCACTATTGCAGCAGAATCCCTCCTCATCCCCAACTATGAATTCTGCCTGTTCAGCAGCAGCAGGAGCTCTGTGTTGTTTTTGCTGGGCGTGTGTGCTAAAGGGGACAGACAGTCCCACAACTTAGTACTGAGCTGTGATCTGTCTTTGTTGTATTAATGGGGACCATGTTTTTATATTGCAGATGGCTGAGAGCTGCAAGAAAAATTCAGGACCATGATGGCTCAGTTTCCCACAGCTATGAACGGTAATTAACTTTATGCTAATGGTAGGATGAGATGATGTGGGCTTTTGTTGTAGTGATGAGCCTGTTGTTGTTTGAAATATTTATGTAGATAATTTTCCTTGACTTTTAAAATGTAGAACTTGAAGTATTCTGGTTGAAATCACCAAGTGTTTCAGAGCAATTCTTGTATCTTCTTATTAGTATTATGTAGTAAATCCCACATTTCTGTTGAAACATTTTGGTAGGATCTGGAATATGTGCTTACCATTGAACTATTGAGAATAATCTAAAGGTATAATCTGCTTAATGCATGAAACTGGACGACAAAGACAGAGTGCCCTTAGGTGAATAGTAAGGGTGTTTGTAATTGCACAGATGATTGCAAATAGATCTGGCCATCAAGATTTGTTTAATAATACAAATATAAGATTAAATTTTTCTTTTTTAACATTTATGAACTTCATATTTATTTATCTCATTATTTAACCTGACAACCTGTGTTTGATCCCTGGGACCCACAGGGTAGAAGAAGAGAAGCGACTCCTATAAGTTGTTTTCTGACTTCCACACACTGCCTAGTTTGTGTCTCTCCCAATAAATACATAAATAAGTCTAAGATTAAAATGACTGTTATTCCCATTGTGAAACTGGTGTAGGATTATAGGGATTGGTGCCACAGACATTTTTTTAAATTAAATAATTATTTTCCACAATGAGTGATCTGTAAGTTTAAAACAGTGCTGCTTTTCCAGGTTTGAAGATTTCTATGCCACATATGAAAACATTTTCACTAAAGTCAGTTTACTTAAAAACTCCAACCAGAATATTAATAAAGTTTACAGATCAAATAAACACATAGGCAGTATGATCCCAGTCTTTCCTTTCATAAGTATTTATTGTACAGATCACTGCATTATAAATAAATATGATTGGAAGCAAACAAAATGTTCAGTGATAAAAATGCCCATGTGAATAAAATTCCAATTATTAATTACGAAGTGGTATGTAGGAATAAAGAAAGTCATTTGGGTTTTTTTTGTTTTTTGTTTGTTTGCTTGTTTTGTTTTTATTTTTTGAGACAAGGTTTCTCTGTAGCTTTGGAGCCTGTCCCGGAACTCTCTCTGTAGACTAGGCTGGCCTCAAACTCACAGAGGCAATCTGCCTCTGCTTGCCAAGTGCTGAGATTAAAGGAAGATATAGTCATTTTTAAAAAAAACTTCTGAAGAATTGATAGCAGAGAGACTGTTACCTTCTACTTATTAAAAATAGTTGAGTAACTTGTATTTATCTAGTTTAAGTCCAACTCCGCATTTAAAGTGTTATTGAAAGCAACATCCATGTATAACACAAAACTTCAAAAGTATGTCTGCATCTCTAGTAAATCATTTGTCACAGTTAAGACTTTAGATGCTGGACCCAGTTGTTTATATGAATGCTGTGACATACTCATCTAATTTGGCCATGTATACCTTTATCACTTTAGGACTAAGTGCATACTTCATAGGCTGCTTTGGTTCTCAGAGTGCCGTCTGTCTAATACAGTAGCTACATTTGTCTGTTTTGGTTTCAGTTTAATAAAAGTCAAGTAAACCACGCTGCTGCATTTTATGTGCTTCCAACCACTTGTAGCTGAGGCTGCCCTATGGGACAGTGCAGATAAAGAACATGTACATGTTGTCACACAGGTCTATTAAACAAGATGCTTTTTACTTAGTCTTTGGTGCTTCACTTCCTTTTTAAAAAAGTTATTATTAACAAGATTGAAAAGGCCGTCAGTGCCTCCCTCCTGTTTTTGCAGCCGCAGCTCTGTCCCTAATCTGTTGCTCTGCAGAACGTCCTTCCCAAAGCCTCCTTAATCACAGTGCTTTACATTCTGCTTTTCAAAAACTGAATAAATTTGCAGATTGAGAGAACATGATAGACTGGACATCAAGTGCTAGGCAAGAGGTTACTTCAGATACATGTTGCTACTGGTTGATATTACAGAGTGACATTGCTTGTTTCAGTCTCAAAATTATGGGGTGCTAAGACTGACTGAGAAAGAAGTTATGAAACCCATCATAACGGCTTCATCTATAATCTAGAAAGGAGAGGTAGGGTACAGAATAAAAGCCTCCAATGGCTTTAAGAATACCACATTTTCTTGGAGCTTTATTGCCTTTTTAGAATTGTAGGGCTCAGTAATCTTTCAACCATATGGTTAGGAAATTGCTGAGCTAGATGTTGGGTCTCTACAGTCGGATGCAGCATTGCACTATACTTATAAACCCAGGTTTTTATTGTTCAGGTTCCCATAACTTAAGCTACAGCTTTGTTTAGGACAGTATAACAATTATATTTTAGACATTTAAAATAGTACTAGATCAGTATATCATTTATTTTAAGTGTTATTTGTTTATATTTGTTTTAAATATTAATTTAAACTGGAGACAAATATCAGTGCAGACTATTTCTAAAATTTAGTTTCTATTGTATATAAATATAGCATGTTTGAATTACTTAGAATTACAGTATTTACAAACTACCTAGCTGGGTTCTTTATGTATGCTTGCATATTTATAGATATGTGTGTATACCTACATATGTGAAAACAGGGATTATATTACGAACTAGCATATAGTTGGTTCTGTAATTGAAAACTCTTCCTTCTTCACTGGTTTTATGAATGTGCTTAACAGAGGTAGTAGCGAGAAGAGAATAAACAACAGAAGCCGTTCTGAAAATCCATGTTTAGTGATGAGTTGGGGAAATGGGTGGAATGTGGATGGAGTCCTAACATGACTATCAGACACTGTCAGAGGTCATCAGCTTTTAAAGGAAATGTTGGACATCTACTGCCACCTTGTTATTCTGTCTTTCCATAAAGCTTACAAAAATAGACTAAAATTGGGAGGTTTTCTTCCCTCCAGGTGTAGAATACCAAATAGTTAGTTCTTTGAAAGATTCTGTTAGTGCTTCATTCTAAGTAAGAAAACTAGACTTAGATTATTATTTAAAAATTGACTTTGAATCAAACACATTCTGAATTTTTTCATTTAGAGGCAATCTCATTTCTGGAAAATTCTTGATACATTAATATTTTAAATTTTAAAGTGGTTTCTTGTTTTGCAAGTTATTTGAACATGATTTAAAAGTTATTCCATGTCCTAACTAATTTATTGACCATTTCATTTCTTCAGATAATATTAATCATAATGATAGTCACTATAGTTTGCTTTTCTTGGTGGTATGATTGTAAATATTAAGAAGGCTGAGAACACCTTTAAAAGAGGTTCATGTACTCAGCTTTGCTCCCCCTTACGTGTTTATTGAATTAGTGAATATGAAGGAGTCATGATTGCTGCTTGGAGTCAGGAGGATTTAAACACTATTAACAGGCTGGTTGAGTTTCCTACTATGAAGACAAGCACCCAAGAAAAGTTGAAAAGATAGTTGTATATAAAAGAGCACCATAGCCAGGCATGGTGGCACATGCCTTTAATCCAGGCAGAGACACAGGAATCTCTGTTGAGTCTGAGGCTGCTTGATCTACATAGCAAGTTCCTGGCCAGCCACAACGATACAGTGAGACATTTTTGCCCATTTATATTTTTCAAATTAGTTTTTTAGGTTAGCATACAAAGTGATGAGTTTTTTAAATGAAATTTTCATACATGTCATTATACTTTGTTCTGCCATTCCTCAGTCACTATTTTATTGTAGGTGCATTGCGTATTCCACGTGGTCTCTGAAGGAACCTTTGTCCTAGGTGGTATTTTTAGGCCTCAGAGGTGGCAGTTATAGTACAAGAGCATATTTTCATGTGTGTTGGAATATCATACAATTCAGCAAGTTCAGGTTGCCCCCGTTCTAGCCTCAGTTCCCATTTTATCTGTCTCATGATGGGGACCAAACCTTGTATTTGCCCGCCAAACGCTCTGCCGCTCCGCTAATCTTCAGCGGCCAAGCTCTGATCTCAGCTCTATCACTTACTGTATTACCTTAAGTAAGTTGCTTTTCCACCATTGCTTTCAGTTTTCTTATCCACAATAGTACCTAACTTACTGTGTGGTGCTGGAGTTAATGAGCTGCTGAACATACATCCCTGACATCAGCAGGGCTCAGAGCTGTTTTCATCCATCTTTTTACCAACACTCTCCCAAAGTCAATCACAGTAAATAAGTTCTGTAATACACAGTTTCTTTCCCATCACAGGACTTCTGACAGCTTATTTTAATGGAATTTCACATGTGTATGTCATTATACTTTGTTCTTAGTTCCTCCTCACACACTGGCCTCCTGGTTTATTTTACTAATCTTACTAGGTGAAAGATTATGTTCAGTGTTATTTTATTGTAGGTATATTGCATATTGCATAGATGTATGCTCAGTCTGATAAATAAGCTGATAGGACAAGGGAAGTTTTACTCCAGCTGAGGCGATGTTTGTTTCACAAGTGTGTAGCTGTGGCTACTTTAGATCCTTAGTTCTTCAGCAGCTCTCTTTATTCTTAACTCTACCCCCTAAAGCTTCTTTTTGTAGTTTTTTTTTAATTCAGTCCTTTAGGGCTAAGAAAAATGTGTTAAATCAACTTTAGCATTTAAAATTAGAGTAGGCCTTTAGTTTTCTAGTTAGAAAATCACTTTTCTAACACTTTTTTTTATTGTGTGGATAGCAGATACATGTGAGTTTATGTGTTTAAAACATGTGGTTCCTTGTTGGCAGATGTTGAGCAAACTAAAAGAGTAGACAGGAGTGATGCACAGGTGATTATTAGCCAAGGCGAATGTGTGAAGCTTTCCAAAGACTCCTTCAGAGGCTGCTGGTGATTCTTTGTGAAAGGTAGACAGCAAAGTTTGTGAGTGTTCTGTTCCTCTGGGCCTGGTCTATATAGTGAACACTTCCACACTTGCTCCCTTTCTAATTGATTTAGACATCTGTTTGGAATCATTTTTAAGTATTTGCTCTTTGCTGGTACTCAGCTGGTTCTTGGAATAGAAAGGCACAACACTCTGGCTCCGAGGACTTAGAGTCTACTGGAGCAAATGGATCTCAGACAGCTGTGGCATCTTCCTGAGTGCCCCCCAGAAGCGTGCAGTTTATCTTGAGAATCTGGAAGAGGAAGCGATTGTTGTCATCTAGTGATATCAAGGTCCCCCTGAAGGAAGTAGCGTGTGTCCTGACCCTGAAGGAGAGTCTTTCTACTACAGGGATGCCTTAGGTTCAGTCCCCAGTGATGAAGGAAAAGAAAATGACCCTTCCAGTTAACTCAGACTAGTTATTTCCTGCCACTTTCTGAACCTGAGTTAGTAGCCTGTTTGGTGCACTCAGATCCGTTTTGCGCATCCCAACTTCTCCTTTTTGTGTGAGCGAAGTGCTCCCAGACCACCTCGGCACATGGCAAGATGCCGAAGTTTCTGGCCTCTGCTTAGATCTTAGTCTTTCCTGTAATTCACTTCCAATGCGCTGACTTAGAATCCCACAGTTGAGCCAGGCAATGATGGCACATGCCTTTAATCCCAGCACTCGGGAGGCAGAGGCAGGCGGATCTCTGTGAGTTCTAGGCCAGCTTGGTCTACAAGAGCTAGTTCCAGGACAGGGTCCAAAGCTGCAGAGAAACCCTGTCTCGGAAAAAAAAAAATTACCACAGCTGTTGTCATACTTCTGCTCAGGGACTTTCACAGTTAGCACAGTACATGGTGGTACTTACCTTCTAGGTAGGAATTCTTTGAGACTGAGAGTAGTACTCTAATCTTTTTTTTTTTTTTTGAGACAGGGTTTCTCTGGGTACCCATGGCCATCTCTGAACTTGCTCTGAGGACCAGACTGGGATCAAACTTGGAGATCCACCTGCCTCTGCCTCCTGAATGTTGGGATAAAAGTGTGCGCCATTTTTGCCAGACTTTAATCTTTTTGGTTTTTTGAGACAGGGTTTCTCTGTAGCTTTAGAGTTTGGAGCCTGTCCTGGAACTAGCTCTCGTAGACCAGGCTGGTCTCGAACTAACAAAGATTCGCCTGCCTTTGCCTCCCAAGTGCTGGGATTAAAAGCGTGTGTCACCACCGCCCAGCCAGACTTTAATCTTTTTATTGCCAATATTTACCTCATTCTTGTGAGTGGTATACAGTTATTATTCAATAGATGTTAACTCAATGAATGGCTGAAAAACCTTAGCATTTCTGTATATAGTTGATAAGAGTTCTATTTTTTATGTCCTTCACACATTAAATGATCTCATCAAATGGATGCTTAAGATTCATATTTGTATGTTAGAATTTTGCATTCTTATCGATACACTGTTTTGAGCAGGCTCATGTACATATTATAATATCTTGGCCTTTCATATATGTTTTAGGAGGTCCAAATATGTGGGCTATTACCTCTGAAGAACGCAATAAGCATGACAAACAGTTTGATAACCTCAAGCCTTCAGGAGGTTTTATAACAGGTTTGTGTTTATCTTTTATATTATTTATTGTAAATTATGTTTCTGTTCATATATTTTAGTTTTAATAACTGCTATCAAATTTGTGTTAAATAAAAAAATATATAGCCATCAAAACTCTAGAATTTAAAAAATATTTTTCCTAAAACCATCGTAATTTGTTGATTTAATTTGTCATATTAGAGTTCTTGTCTTGAATTCCAAGTGATGGTCAGGAATCTGTTTTATTACATATGAATACTGTTTCAAGAAGTTTCTTATTTCTTTCTTTTTAAATTTATTTTTATTTTACGTTCACTGGTGTTTTATCTACATGTATGTCTGTGTGAGATGTGAGAGACTCTAGAACTGGAGTTGCAGACAGGAGTGAGCTGCCAGGTAGGTGCTGGGAATTGAACCAAATCCTCTGGAAGGGCAGCCAGTGCTCTTAACCACTAAGTCATCTCTCCAGCCCCCTTAATTTATTTCTCATATCATATAATATTTTCCAGATATAATTTAAATATTAATTGTTGATGTTAGCACTTGTTTTGTGAAAGACCACCAGAACAAAAAGGTGATTGGGAGTGTCTTTCCTTCCTTCCCTAGCCATTTGAAACTTTTCATCTGTGTGCTTTATGTATAACAACTGTCACAGGAATGACTCCTACACCACTTGTGGACTTTGCACTATGCATTACTGCATTTCACCTCTGCAGCACCCTGCGAGGCAGCTACTGTGTGTGTATTCACATAGGGTAAAGTCTTGACCGAGACGTGAGGTGGAGTTTGCTTAAGGCTATCAAGATGTCCACTGCTGATAGCTTTTAGTCTGACTTTGGAATCCATCCTCCTATTCATTATAGTCTGATGTTATTTGTATTCCTGCTATATTGTACCTGCTGTCAGAGTCTGATTACTCTGCTTACAAGTTAATAATTGACAGCTACCACTCATGGCTGCTAGATTCCTGAATCAAGACTTTATCACTAGCAGCACAGCTAGCAGTGTGCATATGGCTGTATTTCTGTTGGTTTCCCTTGTTCCCTGAGCCTGACAAGGATGATCAAGAGTGTTGGAAACATACCCTGCATGCTGTGTGAGCTGCAGGAGAGCACTGAGCTTGAAAAAGCCTTCATTTTATAGCAAGTTTGCTCTTTGTTCCAGTGGGAGACATTATCACTTCATTCTTCAAGACTTTCCACTTACAAACTCCTGATGAAGGATATGCTTCTGTAAATGTGTTGCTCGTGTTGGTTAATGAATAAAGCTGCTTTTGCCTATGGCAGGGCAGAATATAGCGAGGCTAGAAGATATGTGGAAGAGAGTAGATGGAGTCAGGGAGATTCCATATAGTTGCCTAAGGAGACATACACCCAGAACCTTACCCAGTCTGGGCAGCCGGGAACCAACAAACAGCCTCCTTCTACAAACTCCTTTTTGAAAACCCAAACAGAGAAATTGGGTTTTGTGTTATTGTTATGTACAGCAAGCAAACATCCAAGAATGGAGAAACTCATGGAGGAATGTTTCACTAGTACTTGATAGTTTTAATTATAGCACCTTTCAGGATGAAAAATCAAAGATGAATAATATACTGTTTCCTCACTAATTAATAGAAAGAATGTTAGTGGTGACTTGTATGGTTCTAAAGTACAGATAACTGTATGTACACTTATAACTCCATAGTCTTTAATGATTGGAGTTAAGTCATCATTATTTTCAGCTGTGATTATTCTTAAGTATTAGGATAATTCCACTTACAATATATCATTGGCTCTTGTGTTCTGTACTTTCAGGTGATCAGGCCCGTACTTTTTTCCTACAGTCAGGTCTACCGGCCCCGGTTTTAGCTGAAATATGGTAAGATGTTTTCTTTATAAATGCACTTAAGTTTCTGACAGGCTATTGTTGTTTTCAATACTGTGGTGTTAACATCAGATTGCTTTCATTTGTGCTCTATTATTAAATAAGAATATTTCTTTAGCTCTTTGAGAAATAAATTACACTGAATAAATGATTGAAAAATCACTTAAAGTTTTGTTTTAAAGGAAAAATTTCTAATTCCATTAGGATTCAAGAAAGAATATATGAATTATCACTGAAAACTGTTTCTGTACAATTTGACAAAATCTCTAATTCCTATTTTTGTTACCTCGTTGTAGTTTCTCTTATTTTTATCATCTGTAAACCCCAAAGTAGCCATCCCTTTTTTTGCTCCTACTTAAAAAAATATTCGAGAGGGTCTTCTGAGATTCTTGTTGGCTAAGGGCACTCTGGTCTTGCAGAGGACCTGGGTTTAATTCCCAGCACCCAACTGGCAGCTCACAACCATCTGTAACTCCAGTTCTAGGGGATCTGACACTCTTTTCTGATGTCTGTGGACACAAGGCACACATGTTGTGTATATACCCACAAGTAGGCAAAACACTCAAACACATGAAAAAATAATACATTTTGAAAAAATAATTTTAAAGTATCAGGGATTGTGTTTTTAAAATGTATTTATAATAAATAATATCTTCTACCTCATCCTTTTTCCTTATGGAACATTTGTGTGTTTAACAAAATGCTAGTCACAAACATGGTTTCAATAATTTGAACAAGTGAATAAGTAAAACTCAGAATTTACATATCTGCATAAAATACACATACTATATTGACTTGGGTGTTCTAAAACTCACTAAGTAGGCCAGGCTGGCCTCAGACTTGGAACAGTTCTTTTACCTCTGTCTCTATAATGGCTGGTATTTCAGGGGTATGTTTTATTTCTGGCTTAGAATTATAGTATTCTTAAATGATTATTTTCTATCTACATTGTTAGATATCCTCTGCAAACTATAGATTCTGTATGGTCTGTGAGCATTTTGTTAGTTACTGTCTCTGACTAGTATTTCTTTTATTTTTCCAAAGAAGTATTTTTTTATTGATAATTATCGAGCTCTACATTTCTCTGCTCCCCTCCCTGACTCTCCTCTCCCCCCTTCAACGTTCCCCCAAGGTCCCCATGCTCCCAATTTACTCAGGAGATCTTGTCTTTTTATACTTTCTACTTCCCATGTAGATTAGATCTATCTAAGTCTCTCATAGTGTCCTCATTGTTGTCTAAGTTCTCAGAGATTGTGGTTTGTAGGCTAACTTTCTTTGCTTTATGTTTAAAAACCACCTATGAGTGAGCACATGTGATAATTGTCTTTCTGTGTCTGGGTTACCCACTCAAAATAATGTTTTCTAGCTCCATCCATTTTCCTGCAAAATTCAAGCTGTCATTATTTTTTTTGGCTATGTAGTACTCCATTGTGTAAATATACCACATTTTCCTTTTCCATTCTTCAGTTGAGGGGCATTTAGGTTGTTTTCAGGTTCTGGCTATGACAAACATTGCTGCTATAAATATAGTTGAGCACATGTCCTTGTGGCACGATTGAGTATCCTTTGGATATATACCCAAAAGTGGTATTACTGGGTCTTGAGGAAGGTTGTTTCCTAATTTTCTGAGAAATCACCACACTAACATCCAAAGGGGTTGTACCAGCTTGCATTCCCACCAGCAATGTAGAAGTGTTCCCTTTGCCCCACAACCTCTCCAGCGTAAGTTATCTTCAGTGTTTTTGATCTTGGCCATTCTTACAGGTGTAAGATGGAATCTCAGGGTTGTTTTGATTTGCCTTTCTCTGATGACTAAGGATGTTGAACATTTCCTTAAGTGTCTTTCAGCCATTTTAGATTCCTCTGTTGAGAGTTCTCTGTTTAGGTCTGTACTCCATTTTTTTTATTGGATTATGTGATCTTTTGGTGTTCAGTTTCTTGAGTTCTTTGTATATTTTGGAGATCAGACCTCTGTCTGATGTGGGGTTAGTGAAGATCTTTTACCATTCTGTAGTCTGTCGTTTAGTCTTGTTGACTGTGTCCTTTGCTTTACAGAAACTTTTCAGTTTCAGGAGGTCCCATTTATTAATTGTTTCTCTCAATGTCTGTGCCAATTTTTAGGAAGTGGTTCCCTGTGCCAATGTGTTCAAGTGTACTTCCCACTTTCTCTTCTATAAGGTTCAGTGTGGCTGGCTTTATATTGGGGTCTTTGATCCATTTGGACTTGAGTTTTGTGCATGGTGATAGATATGGGTCTATTTTCATACTTCTACATGTTGATATCTAGTTATGGCAGCACCACTTGTTAAATATGCTTTCTTTTTTTCCATTTGATATTTTTTACTTCATTGTCAAAAGTCAGGTGTTCAAAGATCTGTTGTTTGATATCCGGGTCTTCTATTTGGTTCCATTGGTCCTTCTGTCTGTTCTTATGCCAATACCAGGCTGTTTTCAGTACTGTAGATCTATAGTAGAGTTTGAAGTCAGGGATTGTGATGCCTCCAGAAATTCTTTTATGATACAGTATTGTTTTGACAGTCCTGAGCTTTTTGCTTTTCCATATGAAGTTGAATACTGTTCTTTTGAGGTCTTTGAAGAATTTTGCTGGGATTTTGATGGGCATTGCGTTGACTCTGTCTGACTAGTATCTCTTATGTGCAGGTTTTCTATTATTCATATATATGTATACCTGACTAAGTGCTGGTCTACATGTTAGTGCTTTATCATTGTTTTTATTTTCTCAAGCTTTTGTTTCCTCTTTGCCACCCCACATATTGATGTACTCCCCTTATTCTCCTTTTAGGGCCTTATCAGATCTGAACAAGGATGGGAAGATGGATCAGCAGGAGTTCTCCATAGCTATGAAACTCATCAAACTAAAGCTTCAAGGCCAGCAGTTGCCTGTAGTTCTCCCTCCTATCATGAAACAGCCCCCTATGTTCTCTCCGCTGATCTCAGCTCGTTTTGGTATGTATGCATTCATTTATCAGCTTTTTTAAAAAAAAATATTTATTTATTTATTTATTATGTATACAATATTCTGTCCGTGTGTATGCCTGCAGGCCAGAAGAGGGCACCAGACCCCATTACAGATGGTTGTGAGCCACCATGTGGTTGCTGGGAATTGAACTCAGGACCTTTGGAAGAGCAGGCAATGCTCTTAACCTCTGAGCCATCTCTCCAGCCCTCATTTATCAGCTTTATTTGTTGTTAAGCTTGATTCTTTGGGGATCAGGAAAGGATTTACTAGCACAAAATGACAATTATCAGACTTCCAAGTTAAGCTTCATACCTTTAAAAGAAGAGATCTTAATTGTACTGCCTTAGCTAAGTGTCCATGTCTGGTTTTGCCAGAATCCTCTGTCACAACTCCTAGTTGTGATGTAAATGATCTGCCTCCTTAGTTACAACAGACTCAAAGTACTATTCCTAATTAGTTTCTTCTGTCTCTCCTGGAAGGAGAAAGCAGGATGCTAAGTGTTAGAAGCTGCAGAAGGGAGGTGATGGGGACAGGGTGCGAAGGAGAAATAGTCAGTGGGTACAAAATTACAGTTACAGACAATAAATTCTGGTGTTCTGCTGTATGGTAGGGTGACTATGGTCAATAGCTTTGCATTGTGTATTCCAAATGTAACATGAGGGGCCGGCTTGTTGGGGTCCCACCCAGTACCCCACATCCAGCATATCCCAAAGAAAATCACACACAGGACTCCATAAGGTTATAAACTGATTGACCCATTGGGTCAGGCTTCTTATTAGTCCTTGTAACTTATATTAATCCATTATCATTATCTATGTTAGCCACACGGCTCAGTACCTTTCTCAGCATGGCAGCTCACATGTTGCCTCTTCGGTGGTTTGGGCAGGAATGGCAGAGGGAGCTTCCTGCTTCCCAGAATATTCTCAGGCTCTTTGCTCCACCTCTACTTCCTGTCTGGCTTTCCTGCCTATACTGCCTGCCTGGCCAATCAGCATTTTATTAAAATATGATTGATAGAATACAGACAATTCTCCCACACCATCCAAAGCAACTAGGAGAGAAGATTCTGAATGTTTTTAGCATGGATAAATGACAAATGCTTGAGGTGGTAGATGTGCTAACTACCCTGGTTTGTTTAGCACATATTTATCTATGTATCAGAATACCACACTGTACCTCAGAAATAGGTACAGGATGTGTCCTTAATAGTAAATAAAAATAACAAGATGATTGAATAAATTTAAACTCACATGAAGGGATTTAATTTTTGTGGTAATTTAAAATTACAAATGTGTAGAATTTCGTTAATTTAAAGATTAATTAGCCAGATAGAGGCCAAAAAATTGCAGACTTTTTCCTAATTAATTTATATGCTCTTCAGAAATTACTGATTAATATGCTTTCCATATAATTTTAACTAGTCAATTTATTAATTGTATGTGAAAAGCACTCATTTTGAATGAAATATTCAATAAGGTGTTTTTGTGTTATGAAATGCATTTCTTTACACCAGATACTAGATTTTAAAACACTGTATTCTTTCATTCTTGTACTCAAATGTAGTGATAAACAGCAAACCACCTGGTGGCCACCACATTGTCATAGTGTCCCACAGTTAAGAAAATAAGTCATCACTTTTTTAAAAGATTTGTCTTTAATTTATAGATATGTAACTTAGAAAAAAGTGAAATATGTGGCATGTTTGCCAATAATACATGTACATAAACATGTCTGTCACTAACCAGAACTTGTTTTGTCTGAGAAATGAGCATGCGTAGTCTAGTGATGTGGCAGCACTAGATCTGTTTTCTTACAGAGAAAACCATATGGTCAGATAACATTTTAGCTTCGAGATAGTGTTTTTAGTTGACTTTGATTGCTTAGTCTTAGTGGTAATGGGAGAAAAAAGTCAAGCGATGTCTGGGCTCACTTGTAGCTCATACATGGCAGATGATTGACATTCAGAGCAGTAGAATATCTCCTTCACCTCAGGTTCAAAGCTGTTTTAAGGAGTTTTGTAAGGATGGTTTGCCCATGGTGTTTCTACAAACATTGGGGCTGCTTCCTGTGCTGTAACTTGTTTTTTGGCGTGTATTTTATAGTTGACTTGATACCATTGGAAAATGTGTTCTCTTTTGTCTTTAGGGATGGGAAGCATGCCCAATCTGTCCATTCCTCAGCCATTGCCTCCAGTTGCACCTATAACAACACCCTTGTCTTCTGCAACTTCAGGGACCAGTATTCCTCCCTTAATGATGCCTGCTCCCCTAGTGCCTTCCGTTAGTACATCATCATTACCAAATGGAACTGCCAGTCTCATTCAGCCTTTATCCATTCCTTACTCTTCTTCAAGTAAGTGTCTAGTGAGTCAGACATGTGAAGGAAGAAGCTGTTATATTTGTTGTTCAGAGACTTCCTTCTTTGTGGAATTGTCTAGTACAGATCTTTTCCCTTTTGTCTCTCTCTCCTTTCCCCCCAGCATTGCCTCATGCATCATCTTACAGTTTGATGATGGGAGGATTTGGTGGTGCTAGTATCCAGAAGGCCCAGTCTCTGATTGATTTAGGATCTAGTAGGTATGAATATTTAACACATATAACTTTGTCTGCTTTCAATGTGGGTTTTTATTTAATAAGCCCTGGACTTATCCAGGTTGTTCTTTGTAATGGACAAGTATAAATACTTAGGTAAGCTTTCTCTTTTGTTGCCGATTTTCTTGTTTTTCGAGAAGGGTCTCACTGTGTTCTTTGCTGTCCTGGAACTCACTCTGTAGACCAGGCTGGCCTCGAACTCAGAGCTCCGCCTGCCTCTGCCTCCCAAGTTCTGGGACTAAAGGTGTGTATCACCACACCTAGCTGAGGTGTTATTTTTAAAATTTTAGAAAACACAAGTATCATTTATTACCTGTCGTAGAAGTCATCATAGTTCTTTTCAAAATAGTTGCAAAGAATTAGTTTCACCCAGAGAAATATTGCCTTGTAGCTTAATTATTGATTTTTGTGACCTTATTCTTTTCTTAACATCACTGAGCCATAGTTTAACAAAGTAACAAATGTAGACAATAATATCTTTTAAGGTGTTTGAAAGATACGAAATGCCATTTGAAACGACCCTGGACAGTAAGATGTTTGGAATTAATAGGTTCTTAATAGATGGAGTTGTATGTGTCTGTTGCCATTATATTGTATAAGGAATGATTCTTAATGTCTTTGTCTTAATTAAATGAATTTTATTTGGTAACATAAAATTTTAAATACATTTCATTATAGCTCAACTTCCTCAACTGCTTCCCTCTCAGGGAACTCGCCCAAGACTGGGACCTCAGAGTGGGCAGTTCCTCAGCCTTCAAGATTAAAGTATCGGCAAAAATTTAATAGTCTGGACAAAAGCATGAGTGGATACCTCTCAGGTAACTGGATTATAGTGGTTATGAGACCATCTGTCTTCTGTGTAAACTTCTTTTGAAAAATTGTTATTTGAATCTGTGCTTTATCTTACCTAAAGTTCTAACATTCAGGACATTCAGAAGGCATTTCATACATAAGAATAGTGTACGTGTACAATTATTGAAAGATGATTCAACTTGATTGCTTTCTTCACATTCTTATGCCAAGTTATGTACAAAATGTACACCCCACTTTTTGGAAAAGAATTTCTCAGGAAGATCAGACTTCATCTTGTAGCCTCTGAAGTGAATGAAAACCCCAAACCACAGGGTGTGGTGGTGGTTGCATCTAGCCTTAGATCTCTTTGAGAGAAAGTGCATTTTCTCTGCTTGCTCTTTGTGCTCTAACTCAAATGCGTCTGAGTTCAGTTTAGTATATTCTATAGATTGACAGAGGATGGCAATGTGGTGATTCCTGGGGCACATACTGACAATGGGCAAGTGTGCGCCACCTCTGGGGATCACACTCCCTTTTCTCTCAGCACTAATTCTCTGGTCAGACAACGTAAATGATGATAAAGGAACAGGGGTTGGGAAAGAATGCAGTTTCTGTTGGAGTCATGGCTGGGCAGTCATGCAATTCATAGAGAAAAGGGAGCAGTTTGGGAGAGGGACATGATGGGAACAGAGAAGTTTTAGACATGCTTTTTAAAATATTTATTTATTTATTATGTATACAATATTCTGTCTGTGTGTATGCCTGCAGGCCAGAAGAGGGCACCACACCCCATTACAGATGATTGTGAGCCACCATGTGGTTGCTGGGAATTGAACTCAGGACCTTTGGAAGAGCAGTCAGTGCTCTTAACCTCTGAACCATCTCTCCAGCCCCATAGACATACTTTTTTTTTGAAATGCCTGTGAAACACACATACAGGATTTTGGTTGGATTTTGGAATATAAATATAGAGGTGAGATTTGGGCTACAGATGTGCACGTAGGGCTCATCAGGCTTTAGATGCTTGTTGAAAACAGAGAAAAGTATATTCAGGAGTCCTGGGAGCAATGACAGCCCTTATAGACCATGTAGGAGGAGAGACAGTGAAGACTAAGGGAGAAAGGAAGAGCATGCCGAGAGAGAGGTGTGTGGGAGATGAAGGCTAGAGAGTTCACCTCCACGCTGGTGGCTTGACCCTTGCTCTCAGAGCTGCAAGTAGCACTACCTCGCTAGAAGAACAAGGAGGAGGACTCCATCCTCACTAATTCTAGACTCTGAAGTCTTTGGAGCAGTACTGTGTTTGATTACAATGTAATACTTAATGCCTGGCTCCTGGCACAAACATTTTCACAGTACATGTTCCAGGAAAGCAGCAACATTTTTTGCATGACTTAAAAGAGACTGAAGAAGTCTCTATGGTTTTCTCTCTCAATCAGGTTTTCAAGCTAGAAATGCCCTTCTTCAGTCAAATCTGTCCCAAACTCAGCTGGCTACCATTTGGTGAGTCTTCCCATTAATGATTTCAGCTGTAGATTCTCCATTATCAGAAATCCCTTCAGAAGATTGTTTTGGAAAAAACAAATAGAAAACTAATCATTTCTGTTGGAATTTGTGACTCAAGCATGCTCCATAAAAGTGGGAATTGGAAAGTTAATATTCACTTGGGATGCGTATGTTCTAGAGAACTGAGCCTTTATTCTATAAGTGACACTGTAAGTTTTTATATAATGGCTTTTGTTGCAATCCAGAGATCATTTAATTTTTAATATAGTGAATTGAACATGAAATATGATAAACCACCTTCTCAAAATGGGCAATTGCCATAATGAGTCAGTGTCTTCCCTCTTTTTGGGGGACTATGAAAATTAAAGGTAAAAATTGACTCATTTTTCTGTATATGCTTATATTTCACTAAAATATATTAACCTAGCATTTACATTGTCATTATTATCATGAAAATAAAAGCTATACTCTTAAGTTAGTCAGTAAAAACTCTTAGTGGCCTTGGTAAATTGTGACTATTCACCTTTCCTGTAGGACTCTGGCTGACATTGATGGTGATGGACAGTTGAAAGCTGAAGAGTTTATCCTGGCAATGCACCTCACTGATATGGCCAAAGCTGGACAGCCGTTACCCCTGACTTTACCTCCTGAGCTTGTCCCTCCGTCTTTCAGGTCAGTGTCTCTGGAGCCACAAAGCTGTGGTTTCAGAGTTTGTTGAAGCCTGTGCTTTAGTTTAGAGGAGACTAAATATATACTCTATCCTTTGATTTTCATGCTCAATGAGTCATGTTGGAAAAGCATAGATAACAGGAATTGTTTTCACCATGGTGGAGAGAAGGAAACTCATCAGTTTTACTGAAAAGATTAAGAAAAACTTGCTCCAGTATAGCAGTCAGCAGAATCTATACTTTGTACATATAACTAAAGGCCATACTGTATTTTAAATAGCCTTAGTCCTGTGTTTTAAGTATTAAGTTCTTTTCATTGTCAGTAGCCTGTATTTTTTAGTCTGAAAGTTCTTACTTAGACTGTGTGATGCTTTTTGTTGTTTGTTTTTCTTAGAGGGGGGAAGCAAATTGATTCCGTTAATGGAACTCTACCTTCGTATCAGAAAACACAAGAAGAAGAACCACAGAAGAAATTGCCAGGTGTCTATCTTACACTTTTAATTAATTTATTTATTTTAAAATTAAAATTGATCCTATTTACTTTAAATTTTATTTTGAAATACAAACAAATATTTAGTGTTATATACCTAAAATTTATGTTATATAAAAAATTACTAGGTGAAATTTTTGTCTGTGTGTGTGTGCATTACTGGAGACTGAATCCATGGACTTGAGTAAACTGACCCAACATTTCTATCACTGAACAATAATACCAGTTCATTGGGATGTTTTTAATTATTTATTCATTTTAACAAAGAGTAAAACTGAAAATGATGAAGGAATAAGGGAGAGAGTATATATATGGAAAATTAGGGAAATTAAATCAGATCAAGCTCTGTAATGAAATCTTTAGCTTTGAAAAAAAGTTTTAACTATTTATTGAAAGAGTATGTACATAATTATTTTAAATTATTAAAAAGTTAGTGAAAAGACTGGGGTTATAGTTCAATAATAGAATGTTGGCCAGCTGATGCAAGGCCTTGAGTTTGATCCCCAGAACTTCAAAACAAACCAAACAAGAAAACTACCTTCTTCAAAAAGTTCGTGTCATATAGCAGATAATACACAATATAGCAGATAATAACAAATAACCTTGGTTATTTGAAGAAGGCACTGAGAAAAGGTAAACCAATATTTTTATTGGCATGGATAGTCAAAGTATATTTGAGTAGATTCAAACGTAGAAAATTGTGGGTTTTTAAATTAATGTTTTTACAGGAAAGTAAATTCTTTCCTTTTTACATTTTGATAAAAGTATCCTTAGGAGAAATAGCCAGAGAGTAAGAGCACTCAACGACTACTAGGCCAGAGTGTTTTGAACTAGATAAGAGATTCTGTAGACTGTGGAAGAAAGCATACACTCTTTCCTTCCTTTCTTCCCTTCCTTTCTCCCCTTTTAGTTACTTTTGAGGATAAACGGAAAGCCAACTATGAACGAGGAAACATGGAACTGGAGAAGCGACGCCAGGCCTTGATGGAACAGCAGCAGAGGGAGGCTGAGCGAAAAGCCCAGAAGGAAAAGGAAGAGTGGGAGCGAAAGCAGAGAGAATTACAAGAACAAGAATGGAAGAAGCAACTGGAATTGGAAAAACGCTTGGAGAAGCAGAGAGAACTGGAGAGACAGCGAGAGGAAGAGAGGAGAAAGGAGCTAGAAAGACGAGAGGTCATTTTCGAGTTCTTTCCTAAGAAAATCACTGGTTTAATGAGTGAGCACATGGCATCCCCTGAGACTGTGCTGCCCTTTCTGTTGTGACTTCCCCTCTGTGTCCTGCCACTCTTTATCCCTTTCCTTTCTTTGTAAGGACTTTAAGGTTCATGGAAGCCTTACTCTGTGCAGGGGGGGGCCCAAGCAGAGGAGGACTGAGTGAGTGCCTAGCTCAGCTGAGTGAAGAGCTTCAGTGAATTTGACAGCAGGAGGGCTCTGGGTGCCTGCAAGCTTAGGACTCAGAATCAGTCTGAAAACTTGAGGCATAGGCAGATGAAGCTACACAGAGGAGTCCAGAAGCAGCCTAGTATTACAGAGGTGCCTAGAAACACTGGTTGGTTTTAACTGGCCAGGGATGGAACACAGTAAATTACAGTACTTTGAAGAATTGTAAATGGAATTATTTCTCTTCTTTATCAGAATAAAGGCATGATTATTTCTCTTGCTTTTTATACCATAAAGCCGTCCTTTAGCTTATTAACAGAAGAATGACTTAACAAAAAGATGATTCTCTGATACAATGAAAAGTGATGAATAAAAGCCATTTTTGTGGGTATCTTAGGGCCCGTTGAGAAAATCAGATTTTCTTACCTGCCCTTAGGTACTATGGCCACTCAGTCCTAAATAATGTTATCCCATGAGTTTTTGAATAGTGAAATTTTTTTAATTTAAAAATTAACAATAATTTGATATTTTTAGGCAGCAAAACAGGAACTTGAAAGACAGCGTCGTTTAGAATGGGAAAGAATCCGTCGACAGGAACTTCTCAATCAAAAGAATAGAGAACAAGAAGAAATCGTCAGGCTGAACTCTAAAAAGAAGAGTCTCCATCTTGAGTTGGAAGCAGTGGTATGGCTAAAGTTTACATGGGTGTTATCTGAACAATGTTGGCATTACCTGTCCAGGGCTTGCGTAAATAAAAAGGATTCAGTTACTTAAAAGGAAAAGAAAAAAAGCTGCTCACCACATGATCTCTCTTACCATTTCTCTTAGTTTGAAAAAATAGTTTTTCACTGATATTAGTCACTCTACTTAACTGATGTTTGACATCAAATGTTAGAGGTCAAGTTCTTTGAAATGTAGGATGAGAAGATAGAAAGATGTAGAATCCCATGATACTAGCCTTGCTAGAATGGCAAGAGTCAGCATGATGAATGCTTACCTGTGCACTGGAACCAAATTTAGGTCTTCTGCACTGGTTGCTTAATACTTTTTTTGTTGGCTTGAGTGACATTGAAATAATTAAAAAAAAATAAAGTATTATGCTAGATAATGGTGACATACACCTTAATTCTAGCACTTGGGAGACAGAGGCAGGTGGATCTCTGTGAGTTTGAGGCCAGCCTGGTCTACAGGGCAAGTTCCAGGACAGCCAGGGCTACACAGAGAAACCTGTGTTGCAAAATTTAATAATAACAGCAACAACAACTAAATACATAAAACCATGATATTTTTAGTCAGAAAGGTGTTATTTTATGGCTCTAAATTACATTGTATACAAACCATAGTTATTAATCATGCCACAGTGCTACAACAGAGATTTTTTTTATTTTTTTTAATTTTTAAATTTTTTTTATTGAGCTGTGTATTTTTCTTCCTTCCCTCCTTCCCTTCTTCCCCTTTCTCTTTTCCCCTCTCCCATGATCCCCATGCTCCCAATTTATTCAGGAGATTTTTACACCAGAGATCTTAAACCTTTAGCTTCTGTGTGCTATGTATATATTAGAACCATCATATTGATGGTGTATTTTTTCTTAAAAATGGGAGATTGGACTGACCAGATCAAGGCACTTGCTGCCACACCTAGCAAGCTGAAGTCAATCTCTGGGACCCTTATAGTACAAAGAGAAAACTGACTCCCAGAAATTGTTCTCTGACCTCTGTGCACACTCACACCCACACAATAAATAAATATAAAATAATTTAACATAAGAAAAGACCTTAACATCGCCTGTTTTTCTTTTAAGGTTAGGGTAACATACCAACACAGTGACATGGGTCAGTGTCTGGAGAGGTTCATTCTGTACTTATACATGTTAAAGATAAAATAAGCTCTGGAGTCTATGCAACATGTTCCTTTTAGTGTGTATTTTTCAAATATAAGACATGTTATCCAGTCAGACTTTCATCAGTGATAACTCAGTTTTCCTCACCTCACTGTTTGACAGCTAGAGCTGTAATAACAGAACACCACAGGCTGGGAAGCCTGAACAGCAGAAATGGTCACGGTTCCAGAGGCCAGAGCCAGGGTTTGTGTCCTGGTGAGGCCTCACTCTGTCCTCACATGTCCTTCTCTGTGACAGGCATTTCTGGTGCATTTTCTGTCTGTTCTTCTTATAATGACACTAGTTCTATTGGATTAGGACCCATTCCAAAGACCTTTTTGACCCAATTGCCTCTTTAAAATAAGTTTCTCTAAACATCAGATAAATTTGGCTTGGCGGGTGAGGTGGCAGTTCATCCCTATGCCCCACCTCTCCCTTCATCTTAGACCTCATTGAAGAATGTTTGCTGTCTGTTTCTTCCCTTCCCCTGGAAGGGAAGGTTACTCTTTCATAAGGAAAAGAATATTAGTGTAGGAGAAAAAATTGAAACTCAAAAGTTTCCTCTGGACATTGTTTAACTAAAGGAGATTAGAAAATAACATTGAAGGTAGAAATAGAAGCCAGAGAACATTTAAAGAATAAATTTAATATACTTTGAGATTGTTATATTAGTTATAAATACATAATTCAAAAAAAATTCAGTGTGTTATATTTGTGTTTTTTTCACATAGCATAGGGGATCTTGTGCTCTAAGAATGATTTGCTTCTTGCTGATAACTCTTCATATAAATGAATGTAAAACAGACTGATAATGGATCATAAGTGTCATGCATTTGATATTCCTATAGAATTTTTTTTTTTTTGCCATATATATGATTGTGATTTTCCTATAGAATGGAAAACATCAACAGATCTCAGGCAGACTTCAAGATGTCCGAATCAGAAAGCAAACACAAAAAACTGAGCTAGAAGTTTTGGATAAGCAGTGTGATCTGGAAATTATGGAAATCAAACAACTTCAACAAGAACTTCAGGTAGGTCTTTTGCAGCTGAATGGTCCTTAAACACATGCAGTCATCAGCAGTTCTTCATAATAGATTGTTGCTTTGGGAGTCGTAAGCCCCTGACTTCTTGGCAGACCTATGATAGAAAAGATCATAAAGTCCATAGGTTAGATATGAGCTAGGTTCTGCTTAAATTTTTACATAAATAAATATGCATTACTTTGAACTTTAATTAAAAAAATAATAATAAAATATCTGTTTAGTTCATTTGCAGATCATGGCATTAACGCTGTCTGACATGGGTTTACTCTGCCGCAAAAATGGCATCTTCTTCCTGTCTAGCACATGGCAAGTGAGCAAGGCAGGCCAATAATCCCTCTAATGCGGGGAAGTCCTCATGGTTTGACCACTTCCCACAGCCTTGTCCCTTATCACTATAGCACTGGGAGTCGTGTGTCAGTCCTGAAATTATGACAGGGCACCCATATTCACACCATATCATATGTTACAGTAAAGTTGTTACTATTAAGTTGAGGAAATTCTTATTTGAAGTTACTGTTTTCAGAACTGTGGTGAGAGGAGATTAAATGTCTCTCTCACAGACATGGTCCTTTGCTTGTGGAGTTTAGTTTATTTATTGCTACTTGAAAGTAGGGGCACTAGAAGTCTTCTCCACTGGAGAGGCCTCCCACATAGCGTGTTTATTGCAAGTGTGAATAATCAGTCTTCCCCTTGTCACAGCAGGGCCCTTTCTCACGTGGTTTAAAACTGCTTCCCTGTTTCTCCCTGAGACTGCAGTCCCTGTTTGATGCGTACTTGTGCATTACAGATACGTGGCCTGCTTACCTGTGTGGTCTTGTGTATAGAAGCCCCTCTCACTCTGCCAACTGTTGCCCATTACAGTGCGGAAAAGTTCAGGTCTCTAGGCACTCTCCAGTGGTGAAGGAATTCTTTATTACCTTTAAACTTCAGCTGGCCATTCATAAGCATTTGCTTAAGTATTTTCTTTTTATAGCCTATATAATTCTACACTACAACCTGTATTTCTATTCTGAGTCTTAGAAGTTTTATCAGGTTTTAAATTTAAAGAAAAATTCTTAGACATTATATTGTTTTAATCAGTTTCTAATTTTCTTTTTAAAGGAATATCAAAATAAGCTTATCTATCTGGTACCTGAAAAGCAACTACTAAATGAAAGAATTAAAAACATGCAGCTTAATAACACACCTGGTAAGTCTCTAAGTTTTGTTTTGTTTCCTTTCTGAATAATTGTTTTAATATAGTGTTATTTTAAAATGACATTATTCCACTAAAATAATATTTTGCCTGTAAGTTAAAATTTTAAAAATAATGTGAAGAATATTATCTTAAGTTGTTTTAACTGCTCATCTTATAGCTGTGACCAGATCCCTGATGAGGAGTAGCTAAAGGGAGGAAGTAATCAGAGGGAAAATGTGATCCCGTGTGGGAATAGTGTAGGGAAACTGCATGCAAAAGAGTGAAATTGGCCTTATTTTTTTCCCATACATGAAAATAAATTGAAAATAAATTACAAGCCTAAGCTTGGGCATAGTAGCTCATGCCTGTCTTAAAACTTTGTAGACGGAGGCAGGAGGATTGTCATGAATTTGAGACCAGTCTGGATTGCATAGCAAATTCCATGTCAGCCTGGATGAAAAAATGAGAACATGTCTCAAAACCAGCAACAAAGATAGATTACAACCTAAATATAAAATACAAGCTATAAAACTTCTGAAAGAGGGCAAACAAAAGTACCTTGATATCCTTTGCAGTCATTTTTAATACAATATTTTTATTCTTCAAGAATTTCATACAATGTATTTTGATCATATTTACTCCCTCTCCTCCCTTAACTCCTCTCAGGTCCACCCCACCTTTTCATCTCACCTCCAGCTTCATATCCTCTTTTTTGTTTTAGCAGGATTTTAAAAAATTATTTAATTTATTTGTGTGTCTTCGCATACGTCTTGGCAGTACATGTGTGCAGTGTTGAGGTGACCAGAAGAGAGCATTGGATCCATTAGAATTGAAGTTATAACTGTGGGATACCATGTGGGTGCTGGGAATCAGACCCCAGAGGTCTGGAAGAGCAGCCAGTGCTCTTAACTACTGAACCATCTCTTCAGCCACATTAACATTTTTTTTTTTAGTCACCAAAAATAGAAAAAATGGAAATAGGATATTTTCATAGAAATAGTTTTTGATATTATCAGAAGCTCAAGAAACATGAAGTAAGCTATTGTACATCAAACTGAAAAGATTCTGCATAGCCAGTGAAGTACCCAAGATGAAAAGACTGTCCACAGACTGAGAAAATATCTATGAATCATTTATCTGATAGGGGCTTGATATCCAAAATATATAAGGAATTCATGCAACCTAATACCAAAAAATATCCTCAAAACAAACAGAAAAATTCCATATGGCCCAACTTAAAAATGGGCAGAAAACTCAAATAAGCAGTTCCCCAAAGAAAAGATAAAATGACCAGTAGGTATTTGAGAGGTGGTCACCATGGCTAAACACTGAATTATCCCCTCAGACTGTCAGGATAGATGTTATCCAAAGGTGAAGAAATATGAGTTGGTAAGAGAGGAAAATCTGGCACACCATTGGTGAGAATGTAAATCAGAGACTATAGAAAATAGTAAGGCAGATTTTAAGTCATTAAAAATTAAGCTGCCCTATGACCCACATCTGATTGTAGATCCGAAAGAAATGAATCCCTGTCTCAAAGGGCTATGTCCACTTTTGTGTTTATGGTGGCTCCTGCACAATAGCCAAGGGTGGAATCAGATGCTCATCAACAGGAAAGCAGGTAGAGAAAAATGTGTGTGCGTGCACATACATACACACAAAATGGAATATTCTACCTTAAAAAAGAGGATACAGTGCCAAATGTGACATTGTGGATAATCTGGAGGTTGTAGACTCAGTAAAATAAATCAGCCATGGAAATAAAAAAAGTGCATGGTGTCACATGTGAAAATTGAAAACGTCAAACTCAGAGAAATAGAGTAGAGTGGTGCTTACCATAAAAATGGATTTTACCACGAAAAGGGATTAGGTATGTTAAAGCAGACTAGCCGTGATGTAGGCTACTATGTAGATGGAACTAGATCTCCATGTCCTAATGATAAGATATATTGTTAAATTTAAAACAACTTAAGACTGATGTGTGACTCAGTAAGAGTGCTTATCTAACATGTATGTGTTTAGTGTCCATTGTCACCAAAATTTAAATAAGAAAGTAAGAAAGTAAATAAATGATATATGTATGTGTGTATGTATGTATGTTACAGAATGCTGTAGATAACATGATCCTGTCAAGTAGAAGTTGGATGAATGCACATATATCTAAGTACAAATGCTTAAAAGGAGAATGTAGGATTTCGGATAAAGGACAACTTAACTTTTTACTCTGTGTGTTTAATTTTATTCAAATTCTATACTTGATTTCTATATTTTAAAATTACAAAATTTTGGAATATGTATTTAGATAGTAATGTTACTATTTCATCTTAATGGAAATCACTATATTCAGACCTAGTTTCTGTATCCTTGTGTAAATTTTTTTAAGTCTTGTACAGTGAAACTCTCTCCTCTTACCTCTTAAAATGTGTTATTAAATAATCCTGTTAGTAATACTTATTGGGTCCTTTCTGTGAGTAGTCCTCTGTTCTTGAGATCGTCATAAGTACAAAGCGACTTTAGCAGCATATTTATTCTGTTGACTGAGTACTTACTGTGACTTTATGCCATGACTTTCTGCTCACCTCGTTAATAAGGTAGGTGGATTGTGCCTCTTGTGTCTGGTCAAACTCATTTTCAAGTCCTGATCCTTTCAGTAGAGAACCAGTACTTATATCTGTTTCCTTTGAGAATCTTTATAAGGTGTTACTTGGGAATAAAAGGTATTATCTCTTCTCCTCACCTATGTATCTTCATATGCCCTTTGTATTTCTCTAGTTATGTCATTGTGAGCAGACAGAAGTGACAGGAACTGCTCCCAAATGTAAACTGACTTGATATTTTTTACTTCAGATTCAGGGATCAGTTTACTTCATAAAAAATCATCAGAAAAGGAAGAATTATGCCAAAGACTTAAAGAACAATTAGATGCTCTTGAAAAAGAAACTGCATCTAAGCTCTCAGAAATGGATACGTTTAACAATCAACTGAAGGTATTTATCTTCTGTTATCTTCATGTCTCTGTAGCGGCTTCTTGTATCACATTTTCATAATTGACTATGTCATTTCATCGACTAGAATTATATTGTTTTTAATGTTCTCTAAAGTTTAGTAAATACTTTTTTCAGAGTTTCCAAGTTTGGGTGCTATGTGCTCTTTTTATTGGCTTCTATGCAATCCTAAAACAACTGCCTTTGTCAGTCCTTCAGAACCAAAGTCAGCAACATTCTAAAGCAGCAAACAGACTGGGCATGGTGGATCACACCTGTAAATCCCAGAAACTGGGAGACTGACACAAAAGAAATAGAATTCAAGGTTGTTTCTCAGCAACTTAGAAAGTTTAAGAGCAGCCTGGCTACATGAGACTCTGTCTCAAAACAGGGAGGAGGGGTAAACATGGAAATTTCAAAATTGCTGTCGGTCCTCTTTTAACACACTAAATTCTTGTTTGCTTCTTCGTGCTAATATAATTAACCTTTATGAAACAATAAAATACTTAGGGAAATCTAAAGAAGAATTTGATACTATAAACTTCATATAATTCATAATTCATTGGTTTATTGTTTGCCTCTGTGGCGGAGCAGGTGCCACAGACTGTGTTTTTCTTTTGGAGCAGTGGTGATTGGACACTGGCGCCATGTGAGTGGAGATAATAAGTGTTAGCTGGTTACTGAAACTGACTGGAGTGCTGAAAACCAGACTAATGGTATCCACTCAAACTGAGTAGTCTCGGTTCACCTTTGCTAACTATGCATAAAGTTATGAAAGCACACAGTGTTATATAGTAATTCTTTAAGAAAGCTATTTCTTCATATGGTTTTTATCTTGTTGACTTATGTAGAGAACATTAGCAACAACTATGGAATAAACAACATTATGGTGGCTTCAGTTAAGGACAGAAATGGAGGTGAATAATGCTGAGAGTGTACTTTACATAAAGATATGTTCTTTAGAGAAATTAAAATGTGATTGTTTGTCACTGGTGATCAGACAAGCCAGTCAAGTTATCTTCCTTAAATAATTTTTTGAAACTGTACATAGTTTAACTGGCCTCTTATCTGCCTTATCTTACAGTGTGGGAATATGGATGACTCTGTTCTTCAGTGCCTTTTGTCTCTGCTAAGCTGTCTCAACAACCTCTTCCTCTTACTTAAGGTTATTTTCTAATATCTAGCTCCTTTTTTTTAGTTACTTTACTGTTTTATTTTTAAACTGTACTATTCTTTGCCTTTATCTGATTATCTTTGTTTGGAATAACATATACAATAAAACCTTCTTTTCTTTCTGTTTGCTCTAATATCCTTCTGCTGTCTTATTATTGCCTGTTTGAGTTTAATGCCAGAAATCAGGAAGGCTGCCCAAGGTGTCTTCCTTCATGAGGAATCCAGCCAGTTCCCTTACATTATTTCTGTGGATTGGGTTAACCAATGGGGTGGGCAAGAGAAAACAAAGATGTGAAAGTGAATCAGCTATGTCCCTGAAAACTATTGCTCAAGTTTTGACTTCCTGCAACCTAGGACAGGGTCATGTCTTGTGTGTGCCTGATGCATCCTGATTTTGCATAAGGAAAAATGTAAAGAACCAGTAATATGAAGACATCATTACTTACCAGGCCTTGTGTTCTGACACACACCTTAGGTGTAAGTCATGAGCTTTGCCACTTCTAATACACAGACTGTTCAAAATATTCAATGATGTCCTTCTTTAATGTAGTGTAAAGAGAGGTGATTTATATTAACCACTTGTCCACCCTTGTCGATTCTTATTACACTTTCTACTCAGCACTAAAATGTAATGCAGTAGGCAGTTTGTGTGTTCACAATAGTCACACCTCAGCGCTTGCTTTTGGAAAGGTAAGGCAGATTTCAAAAGTAGCAGTAGCAGGGTCCCAAATGTTGATCTATCTATAGGATTAGAACATGGCTGACCAGGTTATCTGGTCTTAGAACTTTTGCTACAGATTATGTAGAAATGTGTGAGTCTCATCATTGTGAAATGAGGTTCAGTACAGATTTGTGGACTATACTCATTCATAGAATACTGTCTGATTCTTCTGGTTAGCGTTGGTTCTCTACAGGCCAGCAGATTATTTTGTCTTGCTTTACTTTCTTCCTTCTGCTTCTTGGCGTTCTAGTTTTTCATTGCTTTTTGAAACTTTTATCAGAGACAATTTAGGACACCAAAGGAGTGTGAAGTGTGTAAGTCAGTGGGTAGGAAACTTGAGGATAGCTACAGAAAAGAAGCCTTTGTAGTGGTGCCCAGCACTGAGGACTGCACAGAGAGCACCGTTTCAGCTGAGTAATAAGCAGAAGCTGACTGCTGTGGATCAACAATAGATGGGCATGAAGACTATTAAATGTATATGAGCAATTCTGAAGAGAGTAGGAAAGTGTGAGGATGAAGGGTGTTACATGAAGGGACAAAGAAAACATCGAAGGAGACAAGAAAGGATGTAAAGAGAAGAGATGGAGGCTGATATGATACATATGATATTTGATAGAGCCCAGTCCCCAAAAAAGTAGATTAAGAAAAAGATCCAGGGGCTAAGGAAATGGCTCAATGGGTTATTATGTTTGCCATGAAAAGGACCTGTGCAAAAAAGCCACATGTGGCATGCCCACCTGTAATTCCAGTGCTAGGGAAACTAGGTGGTGGGAGACCCTGTCTCAGAAAAATAAGGTGACAGCCATATCAGCCATACTCCAGAGAACAGAGCAGGCCCATGCCCCAGGAGTAGTCAGCCAACACAGACTGGACTCCATGGTTTTGTTTGCTTGTTTTCTTTCCTTTTAAAAGTGAAAGAGAATATGAAGTTGGGTAGGTAGGGAGGTGGGGGAGAAGTTGGGAAGAGCTTCGGGGAGGGAGATAAATCCAATCAAAATACATTATATGAAATTCTCAAAGAATAAGTAAAAAGATTATAATAAGGCAAAAAACAGTTGAGAAAGATATCTGATATTGAAATCAGGCCTATGAATACACACAACACACGAACACACACATATGAACACACATACACATACTCACACCCTCTAAAAAAAAAAAAAGAAAGAAAGAAAAGAGAAAATCCAAAGCGTAGATTAAAGGAATTCTTTAAAAAGAATACTTCCACAGATTGGAGGCAAAAATCAGTGGGGAAAGGAACTTGCTACCAAGCCTGATGACCCAAATTTAACCCCTAGGACCTGTGTGGTGGATGAAGGAAACTGGCTCTGACAAGACATTCTCTGACTTCTACGTACAAACTGTGGCGTGTGTGTGTGTATGTATGTATGTGTGTGTGTATGTGTATACGTTTGCACACACACAAATTAAGTAAATAAATATAATTGTTGAAGAAAGAATTCTTCCAGTGTAACATATGGGGAAAGACTGGTGCAATTCTAACCTGGTCTACAGAGCAAGTTCCAGGATAGCCAGGGCTGTTACATAGAGAAATCTTGTCTTAAAAAAAAAAAACAAAAACAAAAAAAAGATCAATGCAGTTACATTTGTTGGTAGAAAGTAGGGAGTTTTGGAATATATTGGATCATTACAAAGATTCTCCCTAGGTAGGTGAGAGCATGGAACAACCACTCCAGATCAGAAGAAGACAGGCACAAGAGTTATACTAATTTTGAGATGAGAAGACAAAGGGATTCTAGTCTGATGGGTTCTCAGTGAGGTTTTTAGGAAAGAGAGGGGATCGGGAAATTTCAGGAGAGAGAAGTCAGCCTTAAGTAGATGCCTTGGTAGGTGGGTGTGGTTGAGTATAAGCTTGGGAGAAGAAAACAATGTGTTGAGCAGTGTTAAATGCCTATTTCATTCTGGGTCATAAGTTTTAAATTGAAGACTACATCTAATTATATGACTTTCCTCCATTAATGTACAGCTGCTTAGAAAAAGCCCAGAGATGGCTAGTGAAATAGGCTCATGGCTTCGTACAGGCTTGAGATTTTATCAGAAATTGGCCGAGATGAAAAGGAAGGGGAGTTACAGATCTTAACACAAGAATTATGGTAAGGATGAACTCTGAAATAGAAACTGGATGAGAAACGATCATAGAGGAGGAGGGGCTGATTAAGAAAGAGAATGAAAAAGTTAGCAGAGTAGGGGTCTCTGTGAAGCTGAGAACCCCTTGAAGTCACTGTACCAAGTATAAGGAAGGTTCAGAGGCTTGAGAGCTTATGTGTGAAGAATAGGTTATTTGGTCAGTGATAGATGTTTTTGATGATAATAGAATCCAAGGTATGCTAGTAGAAATGATCCATTAAAAAAAGCAATTAAAAGGTTTGATCTCAGAGTTAGGGTTTTATTGGATCATCAATGCAGAGGTCAGATGTGAATAAATAAGAATCAGTGACCAGATGATCAATAGATGGCAGTGAAATCGAATGCATACACATACATACAGACACAGGGTGAACCCTCATGTGCTATACAAATGCTTCTGTAGTTCTTATTAGGGAAAGAGATGCACAGAATCTCTAAAATACCTAGTGTGGTAAAAGCTACTGCTATTGACTCAGAATAGAAACTGAGGAAGTGCTTCCCATAGAGGAAAAGCAGAATCCGCCAACACCACAGTTGTTAGTTGTACCCTCCAGATGGCGAGGGGTGATTGGGGGGTGTTAGGTATACCTTGGGAAGATAAGTACGTAGCAGGAAGTGTGGGCCTGAAGAACCGCTGCAAGGCATGGGAAAGGAACTGACTTCTGAAGCAAATCATCTTAAATATGTTTATGCTGTGGACTCCTCTCTAGATCTCATCTCACAATATTTTAAATGAGGGGCTGAGGGTGTAACTTGGGGTTAGAGCAACTGCCTAGCATGCTCTTAGCCCTAAGCCCAATCCCCAGTGCTATATATGTATTTTAAATGTCATCAAATGTAAAAGTTCAAGTATATGTGATTCTATGTTTGTGAATTAAGTAAGATATAGTGACAGATGATAACATTTTAAGTCATAATAGCAGTAATCTGTAATTATAAGAACATCTTTAGTTTCTCTTAGTGAAAATGTCATGTGAGTAATACCATAGTGGTTTGTTGCTTGCATCTGACATTAATGGAATTATTGAATTTCAATAAAAATTAATTTGTCCCTAGTCATGTACATGGACTTGTGAACTCTACTACTAGTAATTTTAAAACCTTAGAAATGCATTGGCTCTCAGATTACAAGCTATTGCTTGCCCTTCAGTGAAGGCAAAGTGGTCTGATGTGCTGACTTTCTTGTCTCAGTTATAGAGACTGGAATGGTAACACTCCCCACTTTGATTATGTATTGGTCTCTCTTGATTTTGTTACCTTTTTGTACTTACAGATTGGAGGCTTTTGCTAGTGTGAGTAGATTTAAAACTGTTGTATCTTACTGTGATGGGTCCCTTTATCATGATATTTTCCTATAGGGAGGCTTTTTGCCTTAGGACTAGTTTTTCTGCCTACAATCCCAGCCCTGGGATGCTAAAGCAGAGGACTGCAAGTTCTAGGTCACCCTAGAGTACAGTTTGAATACAGTTTCTACATGGTAAGAGCCCGTGTCAAAGACAAAAACAAGTGGAGTGGGGGGAACTGGAATGATAACTCACTTGGCACAGTGCTGCTATGCAAGCATGAGACCCCACTGAATTTGCTCCCAACTATCCACACAGAAGTCTGCAATATGGTTAGAAACCCAGTGCAGGAAGTGGCAGATACAATGTGGGAAGGAGGCAGAGACAGGGTTCTCCCTGGTTTTTTTTAGCTAGACTGCTTATCCTAATTGGTGAGGCCCAGGTCTCAGCAAGAGGCCCTGTCTCAGAAACAAGGTAGAGTCATGAGGAAAGATGCTTAGAATTGACTTCAGGCCAGAAAACGTATGTATATGCATATGCTCGTGCACACACATAAACATACGCACAACACACACACACACACACACACACACACACACAGTTTTTTCAAGAATGACTTTTCCTGATGTATTATTCTAACAGTGCTGGCTTTCTTTTGCTCTGTTGTCATGATATATCTTTTTCCATACTAATTATAGACTGTTAAATATATCATTGACATTTTATCTTTTAAATAGCATAGTTATAGTTTATAATTTCAGTTTTATATTTAAATGAGTTAGTGGGTCTGTTTAATATACTTATTGACAAACTTGGACTGTGAACTGCATTTCTTTCGTTATTTATTTTGCCTCATTGATTTTGTGTTTCTTTTTCTCACCTTTCTTTTTTTTAATACGTCTACTTTGACTTCCTTTCTCTCTCTCCCTTCCCACCTTCCTCCCTTTCTCCACAGCGTCATCCACATATATAATATACTTTGAGCACAGTCCTCCACCATTATCCTCATCTTCTTACTCCTTCTACAACACCTTCTCCTTCCTAAAAAGTCCTTCCTTGCACTTTTTGAAAACCTACTTCATTTGGTTAGGGTTCTACCTGAGCATGGGTAGGGAGTTATTTACTTGAGCTCTAGCAGCTTAATAATGGCTGCACTCACTCTCCCCCAGCAGCCATTAACGTTATAGTCCCTTCAGGGACTGTAGGAATAGAAACTGAGGGTTGTTTTTTTATTGAGCTCCCCTCCTTTCTTCTCTGTAACTAGCTATACCTTCTACTTTTCTGGTAGTTTCTAGAGACTACAATTTGCATACTTGATATATTTAGCACCAATATTAATTTGTTGCCTGTATATCTGTATACCATGTGCATGCCTAGTGCCTGCAGGGATCAGAAGAGTATGTCAGATCCTCTGAGATTGGAGTTACAGATGGTTGTGAGCTACAGTGTAGGTGCTGGGAATCAAACCCGAGTCGTCTGGAAGAGCAGCCTTAACTGCTGAGCCATCTCTCCAGCCCCTTTCCTTAGTTCTTGATGCATGGCCTTGACTTCTGGTATTCTTCAGAATTTTTTTTTGTTGTTGTTGTTGAATCTATTCAAGCTTTTTATATGAAAAAAATCACAGAAGTAGTAACCTTAATTCAGTTACTGACTGAGCTGTTTCAAAGTGGGACTGGTGTGCTTCTGTGGTGGTTTGGATGAGACTGGTCCTTGTAAGTTCATATATGTGAATATTGGTCATCAGTTGGTAGAACTGTTTGGGAAGGGTTAGGCAATGTGGTTGTGTTGGAGGAGGTGTGTCAGTGGGGGTGGGCTTGAGGTCTCAAAAGCCTAGATCATTCCCAGTTAGCTCTCTCTCTGCCCCACACTTGCCGATCAGATGTATGTTCCAGCTTATGTATGCTTACTTGCCTACTCCATGTTCCTTACCATGATGACTCTCTGGAACCATGAGCCCCAACTTACTTTCTAATCCCGAGGTGTCCATGACACATTCAAAGTGTGTCCTCTTCAGGAGGAATTTCAGCTCTTTCACTCCAGCCCTTTACAGCAGTAGGTGCTCTCCTTAGCGCGATAGCCACTGCTTTTTCTCAGCTTCTCAGATGTCTGCGTACCTGGAAGGAGAGAGTGCTGGTTTGGGTAGGCATCCTTCACTTCTCGCAGGGTTCCTCTCTCTGGCCTCCTGACTTCTCTGGTGCTTGCTAGCGTTTCAGAACTTGTAAACGAGCAGTTTTTATGTCGTATTCAGCTTTCTAGTTCTTGACAGAACTTGGAGCTACAAGAATTACTCAGCTTTTGCTAGGAGAGGTCCCGGTTAATAGACTTTTTATCCTGAGTCAACCATTGGAAGAAGGCTCATTTCAAGGACTCAGGGCTTGAAATAAAACTTTCTTGGAACGTTACTGCAGCTCAATCTTAAAGGATAAATTGGAGGACCAATATTACACAGGCTACGATGTGACATTAATTTGAAGGCTCTTTATACCCTCTCAAAATGTGGTAGTCTCCTTAGTCCTGGCTCCTGCCACCAATAGCTAATATTTATTGAAACTCTAACTATGTAGCTTGCAAAACTATAAGTACTTTACCTGAATTAATTCATTTACCCTCCCAGCAGCTCTATGAGACACATTCAGGAAACTATAAATCTTGGCTGAGATAATACAAGTCGTTATCGACGGAGCCTGACTCCAACTTTCCTGGACTTCCCCTAGAGGCATGCTTCTTAATACTGAGTCACCCTGCTTCTACTTGTAGTGACCATGTCTTTGCTCTCCAGTAGAATATGGAGGCAACAATACCAACCGCAGCCATGGAAGCTGAGAGCTGTGTGAGACTTCACTTGAACACAGCAGTTATGTTGTTGCTGTGTATCCCAGACACTTGGACAGTCTCAGTCACCACACTACTGCTAGGCTAGACCTACATTTACCTCTGACATGCTTGTTCCTGAAAATATATAGATTGGAGTGACTAGGAGGGTGAGGGGACACAATATACTTTTCAGAAGACTAAAATGCAGTCAAATATTGTACAGTTCCCTCCTTTACCCTTAACTTTTTTTTTATTATTATTTTAGGGTTTTTTCTTCTCTTTTTCTGTTTTTTTTTGTTTGTTTTGTTTTGTTTTGTTGTTTGATTGTTTGTTATTAGTTTTTTCTTTCCTTCAGTTTCCCTCCCCCACTCTTGTTTAGTATTCTGTAGATTCCAAGGGGAAAAAGCCAATTCAAAATGGTGGCTACTGAAAGAATACCAGGCTGAATGAGTGGACAGAATAGCGCTGAAAAGGCAGTTCCTATGTTGAGCAGTGGAGTTGAAGACCAGGTCCCCCTCGTCCTCTTCCCCACCTCTGTCTATAATCTTACCTCTCTGTTTAAGGTCACTCCTGGTTTTACCTGATAGTAAAGGAGCCAGATTTAGTTTATCTCAGTTTAATGAGCCAGAGAAGTTTCTCTTTATAATACCTAATCGAGCTGTCTGCATTCCAGAAAAGATTCTGACCCAGCTTGAATCTTGTCATTCCGAGCAGGGAAATGCAGTGCTGTGGTCATTTAGACCAAGAATAAATGATTGCTTCTGAATGGAAATACAGGGAACAGTGAGCCCTGCCAAAACCACACGTGCGAATCCATTGTGCCCAGTGCTGGGCTAGCCAGCTGAACCAGAGTACTAGGCAAGTTTCAGGCAGCGAGATAGTCTGTCTCAAAAAACAAGGAGTTTGATGGTACCTGAGATGGTGGTACTCAAGGCTGACCTTTGACCTTGACCTCTGACCTACACACACACCACAAAATTTTTCTTTAAATGTTATTACAAGCAAATTGTTTTTCATATTTAATTAATTTCATTTTCTATTGAAAATAACACTTCAAATAACTGGTTTTATTAAATAGTCTTTGTCCTTTATAGATGAACTGATGTGGAAATAGGTGAATTTAGCATGTGTTTGTCTTAATAAGTGCATGAAGTACTTACTGTATTCAAGATTTTATATCATTTAAATAGATATTTTTTAAACATTTAAATCTTTTAAATTTAATTATACTTGTCTTAGTAATTTGTTTTTAATGCAAATGCTATTTTATTAGAAATGATTAAAATATTTAAATATTAACTTATTTATATTTTATCCTTAGGAACTGAGAGAAAGCTATAATACACAGCAGTTAGCCCTCGAACAACTTCATAAAATCAAACGTGACAAATTGAAGGAAATTGAAAGAAAAAGATTAGAGCAAATACAGAAAAAGAAGCTAGAAGATGAGGCTGCAAGGTAACTAATATAACTGGTGAATATATTGTGCTATATTACTGTTAAAATTCTGCCAGGCTATGGTAGTGCACACCTCTAATCCCAGCATTGGGAGGCAGAGGCAGACAGATCTCTGTGAGTTCGAGGCCAGCCTGGTCTACAGCCAGGGTTACACAGAGAATCACTGCCTAAAAAACAAAAAAAACAAAAGCAAAACAAAAAGCAAAGAAATCTAGTTTTGTTTCTCATTGCTTTGTTTATGAAAATTTAAAGGGAATTAAAGGATTATTTTTAGATACTAATCAAATTCTAAAATTTTATAAATTCAATTCTTCTTTTAGTTAAGTTCTCATTAACCAATTTTATGGCTTGTCAGTGAATGCTAAGGACGTGGACTCAGACCTGGACTGGATTCCTGGTCTCCATTTTTTATCTAAGGGACCCTGGTTAACAGACTGTTTTTCTAAATCTCAGTTTCTCCTTTTGTAAAAAAAAGATGAAGACTGCATAGATATGTAGACATTAAATAGTGTGGCTGGGATTGCATCTATCTTGTACATTGTACATAATGAACTCTCATTAGTTCTCTCTCTCCAGTAAATCTGTCTGTTCTCTGAAAGATCACTTAAAAACATGGAGTGATTTTACTTTCTGACTCTGTCCTGTGTGACTGCTGCACTTCCCTTTATGCCACTATAAAGATGATCCTCCCCATGTAGAGCAGAGGAGGGAGAAGGCTGGGACATCTGAAGCACAGACCTTTCCCTCAGAAACAGTGTGTGGATTGTTTGGCTTTTTGCTTTTTGTCTTTTGTTTGTAAAATCCTTTGTTTCTCCCAAGTTCTCCTGTGTCAGAAATTAGTATGATTGGTAAACAAGTATTAATGAGCCAGAATTTCTCTGCCCTAGTAAAGAGCAGATGGGTTACACCTGTGGGAGAGCTAACAGACACTGGGGAAGGAAGACACACATTCCCCCTGCTGAATGCCTTCCTTGGGGACTCCAAATGATCAGGGCATACATGTTTGTGGATGCAATGCAGATCCACACAGAATTTCTGCTCCTCCTGGATTCCTCAGATATCTAGTTGTTGGTTCAGATAGATTCCAGGTACCCTATATCCATGGTCTCCTAGCTAGAGATAATAGGATAATACAGAAGGGAGGGGCCTCAGTTAGTTGATCCCTAGAACCCATGTAAAAATATGGTGATGGCCTCTATAGTTCCAACTCACTGGCCAGCCAATCTAGCCTAATGTGAATTCCAGGCCAACAAAAGATACTGGCTTAAAGAAAGTGGGCAGAGTTCTTGAAAATGATACCTGAAGTTATCCTCTGGTTCCTACAGGCACGATCACACACATACAGACATGAGCACCTGAGCACATATATGTATGAGCACACACACATACAAGCATGAGCACACACATAGGCATGAACACATACATATATGCACTTAAAAAATAATATAAAAACAGTGAAATTCTTTATTTGACACCTTGTGACACTTAACATTTCACAAAAGATCTATACAATGGTCACACAGTCATTGGATGAGGATTTTCTGTTGATACATGCAGCTCTTGATAACTGTTCATCTCACAGTTCCTTTCAGGCTTACAGTTCTTGTTAGTATCACATATTTTCATTTAATTCATCTTTGGATATTGTCCCACTGTAGTAAACTGAAGAAGTTAGAGAGAACACATGGAATATAGGATCTTAGCAGTCCAGAGCTTCAAGCTAGTACTGAGGCATGATTTCTTGGCCATTTGCCCAGGTGTGGTCTTTTTCTTCTTCCAAGCTATTGGTAATAGGTTTTTCACATTGTAGATGAGGTATCACTTGGCTCTGGACTAGTTTTAACTCACTAGCTTGCCTAAGAAAATTTACCAGAATTTAATGAATTTTCTGGAGTTTTTTATGATGCTGTGATAATCAAATCAAGATCACTAGATCATCCCTGGCTTGGGTATTCACACTGTCCCACCTAGTTCCTATCTAGGGCTGTGGATAAGAGAAAATGCTTCTAGAAAGATAATTTAATTTATATTATCACCTCAAAAAGTCTATACACTCAGACAACAGCATTTTCCCTCCACTTCTAGGCTTGTTTTTATGACAAATTAGAGTATCAGAACTAATATATATTATATAGTTCTCTCATGTCTATTTTTATGACCTCCATTCAAAGAAAGAGTTGCCTCTACTATATTTAGTATCTTCCCTAAGCCTCAGTGGTGTCAGAGTATCAGAGATTATGGCCAGCTGTATCTCTGGGATTGTACAACATTATACCAAATCAAAATGGGAACCTTGGTTTATTTTGAGGCTTATTATTTGGCTTATTTCAGCTTTAGTTGCTGAAGAAGTTTGGAAATTCCATGTAATTTTAAAAATGGAAGGCTCTTAAAATACTTTAAATCTCATACTCCTGTTCATTATCCTGATACACAGATTTCACCAAAGTTGTGCAAAACTTCTAGAGGAAGCGTGTTGTGATTGGATGGAGGTTAAAGGGTTTGAAAAACATTGAAAGAAAACTAGGCCTAGGGGTCTCTCTGTCCACAGCCTCTGCTAGTCTTGATAATGCCGAGGCCACAAGGAGTAGTTGTGAAAAATCCAGACAGGAAGAAGTTTTATATTTGCTGAATGGATCTCGTTCTGTTTTTTTCTTGGGTTTAGAGGGAATTTGAGGTCTGGAGAATTGTCAGGTGTACTCTCCAGCTCATCTTAGTCAGAAATTTCTCTTTGGCTATTTTCCCTTCAGTCCTCAGCCCCCCTTTTCTCTCCCTCAGCTCCCTCTTTCCCTCCCTCAGCCCCCTTTCTCCATCCCTCAGCCCCCCTTTTTCTTCTCTCAGCCCCTTTTCCCATTTATTATCCCCCCTTTCTCATCCCTCAGCCCCCTTTTCCCTCCGTCAGCCTCTTTTCCCATCACTCAGCCCCCCTTTCTCCATCTATCAGCTCCTCTTTTCCCATCCATCAACCCCCCATTCCCCCTTCAGTCTCCTTTTCCCTCCCTCAGCCCATCTTTTCCTGTCTGTCAACATCTCTTGCTAGTTCTCCAGCCAGTGGGAACCAGATCCTCCAGCATGCATGTTTTGGTGTACCACATATTTGGATATTGTGTAAACTCTTCATTTGTCTTATTTAAAGGAAAGCAAAGCAAGGAAAAGAAAACTTATGGAGAGAAAGTATTAAAAAGGAAGAAGAAGAAAAACAAAAGCGGCTTCAGGAAGAAAAGTCACAGGAGAAAACTCAAGAAGAGGAGCGAAAAGCTGAGGCCAAACAAAGTAAGGATGAAGGTAGATCTGCTGAGAGCAACAGAGTGACAGTGACAGATGGAAGATGCTCATCTTTAGGCTAGGAAAAGCCTTTTCAACTAGATGTAGGTGGGACTGACCGGGAGTAGACTCCATAACAAGACAAAGACTTTGACTGACGTGAAAGATCTGTTGCAGTGTTCAGAATCGACATCATCAGGAAGATTTTACTTTACTAACCAGTATGGTTTGGCCACTTATTTGAGGGAAACACAATAAAATTTTAAGTCTTTCACATCAAACTTTTCTCAGAAGGCAGGCTTCTTTATACAGCTCGGAGTCCATTCCTATCATAGTTCAGTAGTACGCCTACTTCTAGATGAGTAAATGCTGAGATTCGTAATAGTAATACAGTGTGTTCAAACTTCTTAACAAAATATTTTGAATTTATCAAGTCCAACTCATTTGTGAGTCCTTCTATTTTCCCTTTAGAGCAAACTAGTAGATTTATAGATGTTTCTTCATCTAATCCTGTTTCCTCACTGGTCTCGTTTGTGGCTTCCTTGTGTACACTGCTTCTCTGTGATCTCACCTCCACTGCTCTAGCCATGTCTTGTCCCCTGCTTAGATGCTTTCCCTGTACGCAGCTTGATCTGCCCGACTCCCACACCTTCCCCTAGATTCATGTGCGCATCTCAGCCTGTGAGGTGTCTCTTGGTTTAGCGCCTCCTACTTCACTTAAGATGAGCATTCTTTGCTTTACATCGACTCTGTGACTAGTCAAGATATTTAAACCCTAACAAGTCTAAGGCAAGCAGATTTTCATTATACTGTTCAATGCTCATTTTCTTTTCTTGTAGATGTTAAGAGGCTCTTTGTTGAGTCATAGTAAAGATGTGTATACTCAAAAGTACCAAATGATGGGAATTATCTTTTTTTCAGGTGAGACAGCTAGTGCTTTGGTGAATTATAGAGCATTGTACCCATTTGAAGCAAGGAACCATGATGAGATGAGTTTTAATTCTGGGGATGTCATTCAGGTAAGAAATGAAGCCTTTCCCACTCATGAGTAAGCTAATTACAGTACGTTGTGCTATGCTTCTACAATATTAACTTTGATTTTTACAGACCTCTAAAAATGTTTTTAAACATTATCTCACTTAGTCCTTGCAGCATCTCTTAAAGTCACATAGGATAGTTATTACTACCAAACGTGAAAACTTACACTCAGATGCATTCTGACTGTCAGTATTGCGGTGGCAGAGGGGAATGGAAGTGTGTCTTTGGTCCTGAGCCCAGTGTTCTCCCTGTGCTATCAGGTCCCATCAGAAAACGGCACCACCTGCAGTGTTTTAATAAAGGAGCAGCAGAGTTCGAGAGGCCGCATAGCTTCTAGCGGCTGTTAATGAGATAACGTTAAGTTCTGCAGTCCTGACTGAATTTGTTACAAGTGGTCTTTGTTGTATTATCATAACCCATGTGAGATAGATGAATAAAAAAATAGAGAATCATATTGAAAAAAGGTAATATGATTTATTGGAAAAGCACAGGCTTTAAAATTCACCGACTCAGATTTTAGTCTCTGAGTGATATCAAGATAATGCTCAATAAGCCATTGTTAAAAAAGTTAGATATGCATCCACTATGACCAAGTCATTCTACTCTTAAGTATTTACCTCAGAGAATAGAAAGCGCATGTCCTCGTGAATCCAGGTGCACATAGCATACTTGTTTATAATAGCTAAACACTTGAAACAACTCAGATGTCCATCAGCAGGAAAAGTGTAACATGAGGGCCTGCCCAGTTCCCACAGCTGGTAAGCCCCAAAGAGAATCACACAGAAGTCTCCATAAGTTATAAACCTATTGGCTCATTAGCTCAGGCTTCGTATTAGCTCTAACTAATATATAGCCCATTATTCTTATCTGTGTTAGCCACATGGCTTGGTACCTTTTTCAGTGGGGCAGGTCACATCTTGCTTCTTAGGTGGTTAAGACAGGACTGCAGAAAGAGCTTCTTTCTTCCCAGAATACTCCTGTTCTCATTGCCCCACCTCTACTTTCTGTCTGATTGTCCCGCCTATACTTCCTGCCTGGCTACTGGCCAATCAGCATTTATTTAAAACATAATTGACAGAATACAATTGTCCTGCACCAGAAAAGCATGAACAGAGTATAATATATCCAAATAACTACCAATAAAGAGGAATGGCACTCATATTCCAACATGGATGGATATAAACAGACTGCTTACATTGTCCAGCCACCCAGACCAAAGCAATCACACAGAAACTACATTAATTATAATGCTGTTTGACCAATGATTCAGGCCTATTCCTAGCTAACTCTTACATCGTTCAGTGATAAAACATATTCATAGCATACAGAGGGAAATCCACATCAGATGGATCCAAAAATGGTTAATTTATATGTAAGGAAGCAAACAAAACAAGAAAAATACTACACGAGTTTATTCGTTGAAAATGCAAAGTAATGTTTAGAGACATAAAGCAGGCCAGTGTTTCCCAGAAGGGATGGTGAGGGGCAAGAAGCAGAACTTAGTGTGAAGCAAGAGGAAACTGGGGTGATGGGTACCTTATAATCTTGAAATGCATATTAATATGCCAAAACATTACATTAACACCTTTAATATAAAATTTATGTTAATTACATCTCCAAAAAGCTGTTTTTAAAATTTGTGGAGGAAAGGAAGGAACCAGTAGAAGTAGACGGAACATGGGAGGTGGACATGAGTTAGAATGCAACAGATGACGTCTATGCATGGCAACGCCGTGGTACAATCCTAGTGGATCCTACATGTTTTGATGAATATAATATTGTCAGCAGAAAAGTATGTTGTAGAAAGGTTTAGAAAAGAAGAGGTGAGAGATGGTTGGCTGCACTGAAGTAAACAAGTGTGTACTGTGCTTGGTGGAGTTGATGAGCACTCAGACATCTGGAAGAGATACAGTAACATAGTGACGCTGATTATGACAGGCTTAGGAGAAATGCATGTGCATAAACAATACAGTATGGTCATGTTGATTATAACAGATTCAATGGGAGAACACTACTTGGGCCAGAGCAGTTTAACCAAATCTGACAGTGAGTAAAGATTATCATTATTGTTGGTATACAAAAAACAAAAAAAACAAACAAAACAAAACAAAAGGCTGCTATTACTTATGGAGGATGGAATTAAAAAAAAAGAACTGTCTAGTGGCAAGGTCAACCTTTTTTTTATGGACATAGTATAGAGATAAGAAACATAGACTTTTGTTTAGGGGCTTTTGTCTTTGATGGTAAGAATAACAGCAAGCAAAGCTGGTGCTGAAAACAAAGAAGGAAGAAGCTCCTGCCAAAGTCAAAACCAGAGCCTTCAGATCTGAGAAGGCAGTGCTGAAAGCCATCCATGGCCTCAAAAAGAAAAATCTGCATTTCACACACCTTCCAGGGCCTAAGACCCTGCGGCTCTGGAGGGGGTCCAAATACCATTGAAAGAGTGCACCCAAGAGAAACTGTAACTCTATCTGACCTGGAACTTACTGTCTAACCCAGGCTGGCCTCAAAACTCATAGAGATCCACCTGCCTCTGCCTCCTGAGTGTTAGAATTAAAGGCATGTGCCACCACACCTGGCCTCATATTTTAACTTTGATTAAAATTAAAAAAAAAAATTTGTCCATGTCAAGAAATAGTAACGTAAAATTTGTAGGAAATACCTTTTTATTTCACATGGACTTAATTCTGAATCTGAGAGTAAGCACTAAACCTTTTTTTCTTCTATAGGTTGATGAAAAAACCATAGGAGAGCCTGGTTGGCTTTATGGCAGCTTTCGGGGAAAGTTTGGCTGGTTTCCATGTAACTATGTAGAAAAAATGCCGTCCAGTGAAAAAGCTCCGTCTCCTAAGAAGGCCTTACTTCCTCCTACAGGGTCTCTCTCTGCTACCTCAGCTTCTTCCCAGTGAGTTGTGAGCTGACAGTGGGATGTACACAGCTCTGCAGTGCGTGAATACTAATGCATAGCTGTGTCAACCTGATTCTTGAGCACAGTTTTCATCTGGGCTGGCTCTGCCAGCAGTGCCTTTTGTTCTAATTTTAATCCTGAAATTTAGGAAATGACCTCATATTGCATAATTTCTTTTTATCTACAAATTCTGTTTAAACACAGCATATATTATACACATGGGTAAACTGGTAGTACTTCACTAGGGTCTAACCAACTAAGTATACTCATATTAAAGTTTTACATTTGCAGACCACTTTGTTCAACTCAACCAGCATCAGTGACTGATTATCAAAATGTATCTTTCTCAAACCTTACTGTTAACACGTCATGGCAAAAAAAGTCAGCTTTTACTCGCACTGTGTCCCCTGGATCCGTGTCTCCCATTCATGGACAGGTATGTTATCTGTAGTCCTGTGTGCTTTACTCTTGTCTTTGCTCTGGATTCCGTACATAGACATCCATATTCCCCTCAATTAAACAGCCTGTAGCATTCAGTTACATTCTCAGTGTTTGCTCAATAATTCAGTTCCATGAGGATTGGACTGGGGAGGGGCATTGCTTTTTCTTGGCTGGGAACCTTGGTACTTTGGTATATATACTTAGACACAGTATTACTAAAAAGAAATGGCAGACTTCATCACAGTAAAGCCTGAAATACAATTTTCATCTTCCCTTAGAAATCCTTACTACATGGTTATAATTTCCAGCATTTATTATGTGCTAAAAATTCAGGAAAAACATATGTTAACTAAAACTCTCTATTAAGTAGTTATAACCTAATAAAGGAATTATTCATGCACGTGGCTGTGAAGCATGAGAAATGTTATAATAAATGTGTGTGCCAAGTTCTGAGGCTTACAGATGAGAGGGCATCTCAGCTGATCTGTGAGAATTAGAGCGTGCTTCCTGAAGGGAGGGTATCCGAGTTGGACCCTCAAACAGAAGCAAGGCTTCCCCAAACCTAGAAGTTTCTCTAGTGAAAGAGCATTGTGAGGAAAGTCACTGAGACACATAAGTTAGAGGTGTTGGAAGAAATGAGATTTGTGCATAGTGTTGTTAGATTACACAACTCCTGAGGAAAGGCTGAAGAAGTCAGGTTGATCCAGGCATGGTGTTGGTGCACTTAGGAGGCTGAACTCGAAGGACTGGGATTCTCAAGTCAGCCTTGGCTACATAAAGCATTTAATTCTAGCCTGAGCTATATAAGCAAGACTTTGTCTCAATCAGTAAAATATCAGCCTACAAATAGCATTTTAAGATAAGCAGTTAGAGAGGTTAGGGGTTTAATAAAGTAGGTAATACAGTACTAAACAATTTGGCATTGAAAAAAACAAAGTTTTTGAGAGAAGCTTACCCTTTTAACACTGTGATCAGGTTGACGGCTTAGTGGGTAAACAGTGAAAACATCTGGGAAAGCTTGCTGCAGTGACATGTACTTACTGCTGTGGGAGGTGGGAGGGGAAAAGGAATCAGCCTGGGAGGGAGTGTTATTGCTTGTGGGAAGTGAGAAGGCAGTGGACATGGTGTGAGGGAAGGGAGGGGGTCCTGGTTGTTAAGAGGGAATAGCAAGGGAGATGCTAAGCATGACCAGGTCACTAGTCCTTGGGCAGCGGGGTTACCAACATCAGTTAGAAGTCATTGAAAGCTGGAGGAGATAAAATATTTGTAGTAACTCTTTTTTAAATTTTATTTGATGGATTTATGAATACTTCCTTGAGTATGCACTTCATCAGTATCCACGATGATGTCCTTGAATGGTGGAATGCTCAAGAAAGGTACTCACAGGGCTGGGGATCATGTGTCATTTTAAGTTCATAGACTGACCAGGTTAATATACTCTCTGTTATATGCTAGGAATCACAAATCACGGTTACCATGATCCGTTGTTAACTTTTGGTTGCTTTCTGTCCTAGGGGCAGGCTGTAGAAAACTTGAAAGCTCAGGCCCTTTGTTCTTGGACAGCAAAGAAAGAGAACCACTTGAACTTCTCAAAGCACGACGTCATTACTGTCCTGGAGCAGCAGGAAAATTGGTGGTTTGGAGAGGTACATGGAGGAAGAGGATGGTTCCCCAAATCTTACGTCAAGATCATTCCTGGGAGTGAAGTAAAGCGAGAGTAAGCACCTCCGTGTGTCTAGTGCAGTGTGGGTGGTGGTGTCTTCGCATAAGCTGGGCTTTGAGTGCAGAGGGTGATTCCAGCATGGAAGAAATTGCTTCACGTGTTTGTGTCTGCTTTAGAATCTTTCACTTTAGCCTTTTCAAATTTGTGAAGGTTTCAAAACACTCGATTTCTAGACTTTTGTTTTCTTTTTACCATAAGACCAGTTAGAAAAATTACTTTTCATTTCACTTGAAGCATTTCTCCACTGTTTACTGAAATTTTTCAATATTTAAAGGATTCTTTACTGGGGTCATGCCCAAACCTCTAGGGCTCTTTAAGCATAACCTCCCTATTGTTCATAGCATATGTCTTCATAGTTACTGACTTTTTTGACCAATATTCCTAATTAAGTCATCAGCTCATGAAGCTATAATCTGTTGTTTCTTTTGATCCATTTTTTTTGTATCTACTATAATACTAATGCATAGTAGCTACTGAGTCATCTTAGCTTAATGAATGAGGACAGGAGAGCATGAGTGAGCAAAAGAATGAAATCACAAATATACAAAACCCAAAAAATAGCTCGACTGAGATCTTAAGTCTGTGGGGATGTCAGATTGCCAGCTGGCTCTAACACGGCAGTAGGCACAGATGTTAGCTGTGGGTCACTGTCCCCTGTGTCCCACATGGACGGGGCTTGAGTAGGAGCAGCCTCATACATGAGCCTCCTGGTCTTGGGAATCACACTTATATCCTAGTTGCACTATTTTCACCAGCCTGTATTATCTTCCAATTTCTGATTAAGTGAAAGAATTAAATAGACAAATTGTAAGCTCTTCGGTGCTGCATGTCTGCTTGTCAGTATTTAGTTCAGATGTAGAAATGAGCTGCTCGGGTTGACTAGAATTTTGGAAGGATGAAGTAGTAGAAGTCACAATACATGCCTAGCATCTTCATGAGAGACCCTTTATAGCAATTATTGTATTATTCTATAATATATTACAGAGGAGAAAACATAAACAAAAATAGATTAGGTTTAAATGTTTTAGAGGCCATTTCCTCCATAAATTTCTGTTCAATTACTGTTCCTTTCTAAAGATAAGTCATGTTACTTAAAAGCTTGCAGCAGAGCTGGGCATGGGTATACATGCTTATAGGTTCAGCAACTCAGGAAGTTGAAGCAGGAGGATTTCTTGATCTTACAAGTTCAAAAACCAGCATGGGCAACATAGAAGACCTTGTCTCAAAACAAACAAAACACATGCCACAAAAAAGAGCAAACAAAGCCTGCATCAATGGATACATTAGAATTAAGCAAGGCAGTCCCATTGTGAGGTTTAATAATGTTCCCTCTGTGCCACCCCAAAATTCAGTTGTGGGTCCTGGAGAGTCCTCTGTATCCCCTGGGTATCTAGATCTTGAGCATGATAGTTCTTCCAAACTTTTGAAACCAGCCTCCTGTATTAACATGAAAATTACTATTTACCTATTATGAGATTTTTTTAAATATTATTTTTATATTTTAAGATGCAGTAAACACTAATCAAATATTGTTTATCTGTATGTGCTTTCTCAAAACACTGTCCACTTACTAGTGTGCAGATGTCTGTTAGTTAAATTCCATATAGAGGCAAAAACTATGTTTTATTGAAGTTATTTTAAAATGTAGTGATTTATAATTAGACAATTCTTGGTCTAGGAAGATTTGGTATATAAGACTACTCCTGTGTGCACAGAGATGGCAATTTAGTTGAGGGAACCCTAGATTCTGCTAACCCTGTTAAAGTCTTCAGATCACCTTTCTGTGCTTCTGTCCTCTGCGTGTGTGAATCTGTCTTATTTCTCCATTTAATTTGCTAGGCCAGAAGCCTTGTATGCGGCTGTAAATAAGAAACCTACCTCCACAGCCTATCCAGTTGGAGAAGGTAAGCTCTGGGCAGTTTGCATTAAACAGGAATTAGCTTAGTTATTATTTGAACATACATTGTTCTCCATTTCTAGTTCCTTGATGTTTTTGAGATTAAGAAAACCTGCTTCTCCTTACGTCATATGAATACTGAAGATACAGAAAAATATATGGCTGAAAATTCTTGTCATATTTAGAGTTGGGCCTACAGAAATTCAGCACAGCGGCTGGGATTATGGGTCAGTGGTTAAGAGCGCTTGCTAATCTTGCCGAAGACCTGCGTTCAGTTCTCAGCACCCATATCAGACTACTCACAACTGCCTATAACTACAGCTCTGGTGCCCTTTATGGCCTTGGTAGAAACCACACACGCACACGCACACATAAATAAAACTAATCAAGTGTGACAGTGCATGCCTTTAATCCCAGCACAGTGACAAAGGACCAGGAAGGGCTTCTGAAGAAAATGAGTCAACCATGACCTTGCAACTTAGGAAATGAGGTCCCCAGAGAGGCTGGCCCCATATCTGCAGACTGAGTGTGGAGATGAGTGTAGGAGAGCTTGGGTGCTCTTCCTTACTGTGATTTTTCTTAGACCTTGTAACCCTTGTAGTTGTAGTAAACCAGCTAGGCAGAGTGACTCTGGGAGTGAGAATAAGTAGGTTTCAAAGTATGTTTCTGATAAAAGACCAGATTCTGTGTTGATAAATATACATAAAAGTAGAAAAATAAAATGATTTCTAGCCAGGCAGTGGTGACTCATACCCTTAATCCCAGCACTCGGGAGGCAGAGAATCTCTAAGTTCGAGGCCAGCCTGGTCTACAGAGTGAGTTCCAGGACAGACTCCAAAGCTACAGAGAAATCTTGCTTCAAAAAACCTAAATTAATAAATAAATAAACAAATAAATAGACTTCTAAAACACAGTTGCAGTTTCTTCAAAGTAAGAGTAAGCATAGGAACGAGAATCAAAGACAGTATAAAACTGCAGACCTATCTATCCCATGAGGTCATTCAACAACAGAGATCCATTTAGAATCTGCTTGGAGCCAATCAGTATGCTAGGAGCTGGAGCCTTGTAGCAGAACTTGATGTTTTCATGTAACTGTACAGAACAATTAAAGAACAAAGACTAGGGTGTATTTTACATAAAAGGTTTAAAAGATTATTTTGACTCCATTATTACCAAGTAGAACTCCCAGTAAGCCTCAATTCCATTATTTGTAGACATACTATATGTTTGTAGTTTGGGATAATTCTTTGTTACAAAAAAAAAAAAAAAAGATTGACAAAGTGGGCACACCTTCAATCTCAGCACTGGGAAAGCAGGGTGAGGTGATCTCTGAGAGTTCCCAGCCAGCGAAGGCAAGATACATATATAGTGATACTTTCTCAGACAAAACAGACAAAAGATTGACTGTTGCTACTCTTGTTGTAGTACAGCCCACTGTCCCTAAGCCTAAGCAATAGTCTTTCTTTTCTTTAACAAAATAACAGCAATTGAAAAAACTATAAAGCGCTTCATAACGTTTGTTAGCCTTCTCCTAGACAATTATTAAATTATTGCTTTGGTTCTGCTTTCTGCCTGAAGACCTTGTTTGAAGTTTGTAAGGCTCGAGGTCTTTTCCCATAAACCTCTATGTCTTAGAGATTATCGCACTTTCTTTTTTACATCTATAGTCTTACAGTCCAGATCGCTGCCTTTCCTTGTTCCCTACAGAGTACATTGCACTTTATCCTTACTCAAGTGTAGAGCCTGGAGATTTGACTTTCAATGAAGGTGAAGAAATATTGGTGACCCAGAAAGATGGAGAGTGGTGGACGGGAAGTATTGGAGAGAGAACTGGAATCTTCCCTTCCAACTATGTCAAACCAAAAGATCAAGAGGTAATGGTCTTTGTGTTAAAATAAAAGCATTCCATTGTTACCAATCGAGGTTTACGCTAATACGGAGATCTACAGTTGTGGTCCTGCTGCTTTCATCACAAGGAAACTGCTCAAAGTAGCTCTGATCACATAGGTTTTATTTTGGAGTTCCAGTTAGAAGATAAGGGGCACAGGATTCACAGACTAAGTAGAGCATGAGTCATGGATAAAACTGAGCCTAATGGTCACTGACACTAAGAACTGGCTCCAGAGTCTGCAGAACTTAGGAAGAGCCACCTGGCAGGAGTCTGCACCAGCCCTAACTCCACGTGTCCACACTCTGCAGTTCCCGCTGCTTCCACACACCCCATTCTGCTGTAATGTGGACCCTTCGGGCTACTGTAGAGCATCAGGGGCCCCTCACAGGGGTTAAGTATGTGAGTCAGACCTCAGTGATCTTTATCGTATTAGAAATTAAAGCTGAAATGGTTTAAACACTTACTCATTTTAAATTATTAAATTCATATCTGAAAATATAAGAAGCTTTGTGAAAAAAATAACTCAAATTTTCAAGAAAACTATTCAGTGAGAAGAGGGGTATAATTTTTATTTCTGTGAACCTTTTATGGTTGCTTTTATGGTATGTGAGGACAGACCCCATGTATGTCTCTATATTCGATCTGGTTTACACTGAAAGTAATCTTTTTATCATTGGGGTAGACATGGGGTCTTACATAACTCAGGCTGTCTTCATGTTTGTTACAAATCTGAGACCTTGAACTCCTAAGTCTTGGGAGGTATGTGAGACTTCCCAAATGAAGCTATTACAGGTGTCTGTCACTAAGCTCAGCTTCAGTGCATTTGGTATTCTCTTTTGGTTGAAATATATGAAGTACATAAAACCCCATGCAGATATGAGGGTAAAAAGTATTTTAATATTTACAGATGTCTCTTGGTAGTCTAATTCTTCTGCATCAGAATCTGGTGCAGGGTGCATTGTTAGAGATTAGTTGTAGCTCTAGTAGTTAGAGTCATGTCAGTGAATGCTTTTACATTCTAATCCTTTTAATATTTATTTAATGCTAATAAATAGACTAATTGTAAAATTTACTTATTTCCTTTAATTTATTATTCTAATAAGCAAATATAAATTAATTATAAATTTATTAAATACCTTTATTTGTTGAATAAAATAACATTACATTTTAAAATAAAAGTAATATTTATTTACTTTATATTAAATTTTTTTTATTTTAATATAAAATGCTGAATTTTATATTAAAAGCATTTTATATTAAAATGTTTTGCATAGTTAATTGTGTGAAAAATCATACCATCATTCACCGGTACTTAGAAACTAGTAGCTCACTGAGGTATGCAGATGCTCCTTATATTGACACATTTTATTATATGATATCAAGACAAACGTCTGTAAATATTATCCCTTTCAGAAAGGTCTAGCAGGCGCAACTGACCTTTATGATAGGCAGGTAGCAGCACAAGTGGCGTGGTGTGCTGTGCGGGAGTGTGGTGGTGTGCTGTGCGCGAGTGTGGTGGTGTGCTGTGCGCG